TAAAAAGTTTTTTCCCTACATTTTTATTTTTTTTTTTGTTTTTTTTTTTTTTATTTTTTTATAAAAAAAAAAAAAAAAATATTTTTTTTTTTTTTTTTTTTTTTTTTAATTTAAAAAAAAAAAAAAAAAAAAAAAAAAAAACACTTGGACATCACGTAACCAGTCCCTTTGGTTCTAACAGCACGGACCCTCAAGCACCTAATTTTATACCTATATCAACAAGCATGCGCTAAGGGCTGAATCCGTCGGAATGTGTTAGAGGCTCATCTTTATATATCGTCGGATTTATTTTATTTCAAGACCTAAAAACTAACATACTTCATGGTTCTAGACCTTGCCTGCAATAAAGGCCACCGCGTCCGGAGCGAGATCATGGTACTCGTGGTGGGCATCGGTGACAATTAATGTACCATCACAAACCTTGTCACCATCGTGACAGAGGATCAAGGTCTTACTCGCGTCGAAATTTGGGATTTTCCCCCCATCCTGCAGAGCGAACGTTAAATCTTGCGCACTTGAGATTGGCTGAGGGCATAGGGAGATAGTGGGAGGATTGTTCCACCGTTGAATTACTTGGGGAATATCACTCTCCAGCTCAACACGATATAAGACGTACCTGCGCTTTCTGAGTGTCACCGTAAGTCACCGCCGCATAGATCCGATTCTTAACAGCAGCTGTCGCTGATTCGATCGATCGGTGAACAAGTGCAGCCCCTTGGCTATAACCCGCGACCACCAGCTTTGACGACGGACATTGAGTTGCCGCTTTCGTTATTAATGCTCGCATGTTGTCGGCGTCCTCAGGATCACAGCCCCCCTTTCTTAAGTTGTCGATTAACAATGCGGGATAGTCAACCCCCTGGGCGGCCACAGCGTCCTCACCCAACGTAGCTCTTAGTTGATCTATAGTTTGTGGGCCTGGATCCTCTCCCTGTTGCAGTGCATTAGAAGGATGACTAATACGTTTATTAGTAGCTGGACTGGAAAGAGGAGACTTACAATATTTCCGTCTTGGGTGCTGCCACGGGCGTAGATGAATATGACATCTCGACATCCGCCTTGGAGGAAATCGTTCTCTGTGGTTCCAGCGGCTTTCACTTTCTCTATGCTCGCTTTTATAGCTGCAGACTGAACACCCTTGAGCTTGTCAATGGCATCTTCGGAATAATCTAACACCAAGGGCGTAGCAACCGAAGAAGTCACCAACGTGGTCAAGAGGAGAGAAAATGAATGCCTCATCTTCGAATCAACGGTTGAAAGTAAGTTCTGCCTTTCTTTTATCTATACGAGCGAAGCACTCGGGGAACTTTCTTCAGACAGCGTTGGCTAGGGAGGCATATTCGCAAAACATATCTACTCGGCGGACTACGTAGAAATTCACCTCTCTTTTATATATCCCGCGACAGACCAGCGAAGCTTTACCAAGCAATAGACCATCAGTATTGGCTTGCTCGAAATATACCGAATTACCTTCCCAGAAAGAAATATTGCTCCGGAGAGAGCTTGGGGTAAGTGGTTGAAAAGGCCTAGTTGATGGACACGTGCGTCGTAGGGACAACAATAAGGCTTTCTTCAAGAAACTCAACTATCCTCTACTTAGCAGGTAGTAATGAAGACTGTTACTGCGAGCGAGCTTACGCTGGGGTAAAACCGGCATACGTATGCGGGGATATCAGGTCCGCCAAGTTACCTCCCCTGCAAATTTCGCATCGTGGAGGTCGTAGAGGCGCTAACCTTGGCTGCGTATGCGGTCGAATTACCAAAATGGTCAGCACATCAGTTATCTGATTGGCCTTGTTCCCGGTGTAAGTATTCTTCAGCTCGGCTTTGATTCGGGTCATTACACTGATCAACATAAGAGAACCCGGTTAGTATTGGATGGGATAGCGGGTTTCATAGATTACCGAGATTATCGAGCGTATTGAAGCCTTTGAGGTATAAACGATAGTACCTAATCTACGCTAGATGCCACGTAACTAGGTGGCTTTGGTAAACTGAAATTTCTCCGGTCCTCGGACTTTTGGCATCTTAGATATTGGCATGTACTAAACGTTGCTAGCAATGTGGCCCTCATTTTTTTTTTTTTTTTTTTTTTTTTGGATACGAAATAGTAATGGTGGAGGCTCGGAATCGTGTTGTTCGACTATATAGGCATCTAAGGTACCTCTTATGGGCACATACCTACCGTGTTAATGTAGACATACTTCAACTACTTGACACCTTAAGCCGTCGTATTATAGCAATATCGATGCTACCGCAGTTTGACTACGCAATACAAGCGTCTTCTGATGAAAGTTCTGATGAAAGTTATCTCGATTGTTAACGCCTGCTAAACATCTTCTAAGTGCCAAGGACCTCCAGCCCCCTTTATGTACAGGATTAGGGACTCCTTCGTCCTGGGTTATGTGATTCTTGCCCATGTGTCCTAGCATAGAATTGTCGTATCGAAACCTCATCTAGCGGATGCTATAGAATGGTAAATTGACGAATAAGAAATTTGGCTTAAGGGACCATTTGCGATTTTTTGGTGCGGTGCTTCTGGTTAGATTGTTGTGCGACAGAAGATGCGACAGAAGATGCCTCTTCCCCATCCGTCTCTCTGGTATCTTCGCTGTCATTTCCGACTTTCACTAAGTCGCTCGATATGTCACTATCCCGATCCTCGCTTCGCAATCCAGTGCTCGGCTCGTTTGACCTAAGAACTTCTCGAATGATCTTCTTCCCCTCGTCCATTTCTCCGTTCAGCGCTCCGCAGGACATGCATTTCCACCTGCCCAACTCCGAGAGCGATTGCGTTCCTGGAGGGGCCTGTCCGTTCACCAGCCGGCAATTTTGACATATTAATACGATGCGATTTTTGGCTGCCATCTCGTCCTCGCCAAGCATGAGATCCATAATACGGTCATACCAGTGGTGTGAGCCAGGATTAACGTCATACTGGGAATACGACGGTGGAAGTGGGCCGGCGTTAGGTGCGAACTCTTCTGTGGGCTGCTGGTCCGGGAGATGTGCTTGATTGTTAAGTACGTGGGAAGAGCCTGGGCGAGATCCCGAGCCTCCTAAAAGAGGAGGATGAGAAGGCCTTTGTATGTTGGCGGTTGGCGGAGGGGGGATATCGATTCTCGAACCAGAGCCTGAAATTTGTCGCTTTTTCTCGTTGTTCGCCCTTTTCCGCTCGCCGTCGCCGTCCTCGCCTTCTAGTGTCTGTTTTCTATGCTGAACTCGCTTTTCTCCAGAATCGCCGTATTTCTTTAGTAGCTCTAGAGTCGAGTCGTATTTAGTAGCGTCTTTGAGCTTCTGTATAGTCTTTGCGCGCTCGGTTTGGTAATCTTTCAAATTAGATTCTAACGTATCGATGCGAAAACTGAAGTATGCATTGGTGAGGGTTCTGACGAGGTAAATGCTAATTTGTACGATTCGTAATGAGTAAGATTCTAGTCATCGCGTAAAAAAAGTGGCTGTCATAGGGGCAACATACAACACGGGGCCGCCGGCCATTCCAGTCCACTCCCACGGACCCAGGTTCTGCCATCCTACCACCAAGGTAAAGACAACAGCATAAACTAGGTAGGCGAAGGCAAGATAGAGGGTCCAGAGGACCTTGATGCGACGGCCACGGGACCGCGCTCGGTCGAGTTGCGTTTGGGTGGTTGTGATCTTGTTGGAAAGGGTCGAAAGAGTCTTCTCGAAAGAGGACGGGGAAGAGACGTCGCCCTGCTCATGAGAACACATAGTTAGCCTTTCCTCCTTTGTATCTTTATGTGGTTAGGGTGTTGGGGGTGTTGGGGGTTATTGCAGGTATCGAAAGACGAAAGAAATAGCCGGATTGTGACGTTGTTTCATTTTCACTAACCTTCCAAGGCCAGAAAGACACCATGACTTAGAAATAAAGACGGGGTTTACCGTCGAGAGACCATGGCGTCCGGGCCGGTCGTGTAAAGAAAAGAATCGAGAATATGAGGAATATAAGGCGGCAGCCGGTATTTGGTAGATCTTAGGTTAGGTACTTAGAGTTAAGGTTTGAAAAGAAAATAAGATAAAATAAGAAAATAAGAAAATATCGCGGAGAGGGATCGTTTGAAAGTTAGGTAGTTGGAAGTTAGGCAAAGAGAGTGTTGCGACCTGATGACAGATGTGACGACATTACAGGTGAACCATTTGAAGCAATTAGAGAAAGCTCCAGGATAAATTCATTGGTCGGAAGAGCTATCCAGGGGCCGCACATTTCTATCTGAATTAGGTATGTACCCAATGTATTGTGCATATAAAAATGGGCATATCCTGGCTTAGGTACAAATTGGTACACGTGGATGATTCAGAGGTGCTCCTAGCAGGAGGTACTTTGAGGTATCCTGGTACGATTTACGTAGGACGCATTAGATTCGGTACATACATGTAAGTGCCTCCTTACCTAATAAACCGGACATGTAGGCCACACGTGCACGGCATGTAGCGAGGTCCACCTTTGTGGCTCAGGTATCTCAGGTACGCTGAGCCTCGTTCTATATTCAGTTCTACATACATTAGAGGTACCTACCTAGCCTACGTTTTGGTCGCAGCTTTGGCCAAAGACCGCAAGCAATCTACATAAGCTTATCCTTCAGTTCTGCTCCCTTCTCTTCCATGTCGTATTTCGGTACATAGAAATAATTATCTCGTTTAGCGCTAATATCTATTGGTGCCTATCGCTCTTCAGAGGATTAATGGCTATCATCTCGAACTGGTCTCAATTGTCGCATCCATCGCCGGCGCCTTAGAAGAAGGCAGTTCGTCGACTCATCATGTTTTCTGTAAGTCTACCCTACTCGTCACAGTATCTCGCCTAGTACAAAAATTGGAAGCGACATAGCTCCTAACTGTATATTCTTGATATATAGAGGATAAAAGGTGCTATCGATCGCAGCATCGCCGAAGAGCAAGCTCGTCAGAGAGCGCTCGCCGAGCAAAGATCCACTGCTAGGTCCCCTTCCGCGTCCGGTCAACGCCAGCGCTCGGTCTCGAGAACAAATCGCACCAACTCTTCAGCTAGAAGGAAGATAAGAAGGGCGAGCCAGAATATTTCGAATGGAGACGGCCCTGTGAATCCCGATCCCGCTGTCTTTGAGGCCGCTTTCGTACTTGACGATGACGACGCCGAGTTTACCTCAGCCCAACCGGCGGAGTCAGAGAAGGTGGTAGGGGGGACTTCGTCGGGAAACGAAAAAGAGGATAGCACTGTTGCAAAAAATGAAGAGAAGAAAGACCAGGCTGGCGGGGGAGAAGATGTTAGTCCCAAAGCAGGTGCCTCCCCAGCGCCGGCAGAACTCCCTCTTCACGTAAAGAGCAAGCTCAGGAAACTGGAAAAGCTCGAAGCTACATACCCAGGTAAGTTATACTCATTAGGCGTATTCGTATGAAACTAATTTAGCTCATAATGCAACCTGCTAATTCCGTAGAGCTGCTACGCTCATATAGGATCGCGCATGGACGCGCCACGTCTATTGAACCATTCGAACGGGCCTTGCGCGAGAATACACCCTTAACTACGATTAAAGACCCGACAGCCCTCGTTGAGTACCTCAACCAGCTAAATTTGAAGGGTGATATGGTTATGGAAGAGTTCAAGCGCGTTTCGACCGAGAAAGATAATTACAAAAAGAAGTTTGAAGAGGCCGAAAAGGAATTGGCTACCCTCAGGGACGAGGTTGCTACTCTTAAAGCTGCCAGGGTTGAGGTGCCCATACGGACAGACACTACTACCCAGGTGGAGAGTGCATCAGAAGAGAAGAATGGCGATGTCGACATACAACAGGCTACGTCGCCTTCTGCAAGCAAATCACCTGTTTCATCCATTTTGGGCGTCTTTTCTCCGAAGCAGAATCCTGCGGCCAATGACGAATCCAAAGAATTAAGCGAGGACATGTTTTCTTATGATGAGGAAATTCCGCAACTTCAAGCCGAAGTTGCCTCGAAGTCCGAGGAGATCGCCAAGCTTACATCCGAGATTAATATCTTGAAGGAGGAGTTGGTAGTAGCCAAAGAAAACAGTGCTGGGTTGGTAGAAAGTCTCGAAAAGGCCACACGAGAATTGAATGACAGTCGGGATGAGGCCGCGACTCGGGAAGCTGTGCAGGCACAACTTGACGCCAGGAATGCGGAGGTTAGCTCGCTAACCGAAAAGCTTGAGCAGACTGAACTGACGCTACGAACCTTGGAAACCAACCTCGAAGATGAAAAGTCCAGAGCAGCATCTGCGATGAAGGAGCACGAAGCTAAACTTCAAGCGTCGCTTTCTGCAAAGGCAGAGTCCGATGAGTTCGAAAAGCTGAAGGAAGTAAAATCTGAGCTAGAGGTTAAAATCCGAGATCTAACCAGCGAAATTGACTCGTTGAAGAAAGCCAAGTCTGAGAGCGACGAGAAGATCAAGGAGCTAAATAAGCAAATTCAATCTACCTCTAACCAAGTGCTTTCGTCAGCATCAGATTTACCAAATACTTCTACGCCTACAGCTAGTGGATCAAAGAAAAGGAACAAAAAGAAGAAGAAAGGCGGTGCTGCTACCGCTGAGACCGTGGAGATTGGAACGTCAGACCGCGCACAGCCATCTCCCCTCGAAAGTCCTGAAGTAGAGGCTCTCAAGGTAGAAGTCGCGAAATTGAGGGATGACATATCCCAAAAGGATACTCAGATTGAGCGTCTATCGAAGCAAAGGAAGACTGAGGAAGACCTGAGAGAGGAGATTGAAAACATGCAGGAAAGCCTGCTTGACATAGGACACGACCACGTTGAAGCTAAGGAGAGAATTAAGAGCCTCGAATCCGAAAAGGCAGAATTAAAATCTCGAATCTCCGAATTGGAGAAGGAAATTGCTGCTTCTACGTCTAGCTCTGAAGCTAGTTCCAAATTACAGGCAGACTACAATTCCATGAAAGCCGAGTTTGACGAGCTAAGGGTCAAATCTCAAGCGCTGCAGTCAGACTTAGGGGCTGCTCAACAGCTGGCTCAAAGTCGTTACAAAGACCTCACGGACTTGCGGGAGGTCCTTTCCAAGGTTCAGCCTGAGCTTCGAAGCCTGCGCCAAGAATCGGCGACCCTAAAATCAACAAAGGAAGAACTGACTTCCAAGCAGGCTGAACTCCGATCTCTCGAAAGACGCGAGAAGGACCTTAAAAATGAGGTTGCAAGAGCTCAGCGCCTGGCATCCGACCGGGAAGCTGAAATCAAGCTTCTCAACGAAAAGCTTGCCGCTGAAAAGTCGTCCCGGGCTAAGCTTGAAGATGAGAAGCGGGTCGCTGGTAGAGACTATCGGCGTGCTGAGGCTGAAAAGATCGAGTTATCCGCGAAGGCCGAGAAAGCTGGCCGTGAACTAGAATCCCTCCAGTTAGAACTTTCTACGCTTCGGCCGCAAGTGAAGCAACTCGAAGACGAAGTTGCGAAGCTAAACAAGGAGAAAGTTGCTACTAGGGAGGAGATGGAGCTGAAGGTGCAGCAATTCAATAATGCCCAGGGTCTTCTAAGCTCTATGCGCGATCAAACGGCCGAGTTGTCTATTCAGCTTAAGGAGGCCCAAGGTCAGATAGAAAGTCTTGAGGAGGAAGTGGCAGAAGTTCAAAAGCACCTCTCCGAGAGGACTCGCGAGGGTGAAACAATGCGTCGGATGTTAGCTGACGTCGATGAACGAGCGGACGCGAAAATACGAGATATGCGTGCTCGGATGGAAGCTGCCGTCGAGGAGCGTGACCGTATTGAAGACGAACTATCTACCCTCGCTCGACGTCGTGCGCGAGAATCCGAAGAGCTCAAAGCCAAAGTACGCGAATTCGAACGCGATATTCGAACACTGTCCAATGAGAAAGACGAACTAGAAGCGAGGGAGAGAGAATGGCGTCGTCGCCGTGAGGAACTGGAGCAGGTGGAAGAGAAAGCGACAGCTGAAGTAGACGATTTACGTGCGGCGGTTACTAGCTTGCGATCTGCCTTGGACACATCAGAACAACAAGTCCGCGAGGCAGAAAAGCAACGCGCCGATTTGCGCAAACTGCTAGATGAGGCAAAAGGCCGCTACGAGAAGGCAAACAAGGAGCTTAAAAGTATTCAGGCCAGGTTCAGCGTTGGCGGCACCGCGACAAACGTGGCGGCGAGCAGTGGAAGGTCCAGCATTGATTCCACGCGGAGTGGCACCAACGGCGTCGCCGGTTCTCCAGCCCCGGATACAATGTACCTCAAAACTATTCTACTGCAATTCCTCGAGGTGAAAGACGAAAATGTTCGGTCTCAGCTAGTGCCAGTATTGGGAAAGCTTTTGCGATTTGATCGGTAGGCGATTTACATCCCCGTTATATTATATTAATTTCACTACTAACCCCTATCGCAGTAATGATGAACAGAAGTGGTTAACTGCAGTTCAACACTTGTCTAGACCAGGCAGATAGAATATCTGCCCCGAAACATTAACTGGCGTGTATTATAAAGGCCGCATAGCACAGGAGTCCATCGAATTGCGCATGCGAAGGCATTTAGTTTCCTGGTTATCTGCCTTTGTACTTACCTTAGGTTAGGTACTAATCTAACTTGTAACGTTTATATATTCTGTCACCGACTACCTAGAAGCGTAATCGCACTCCCCTCCATCTATGTCCAATAGGGACGTCAGCAATGATACGGGGTGTATAGATTAGGACTCCGGAGGTATCGGATTTTGGAATACCTGTACTGTTGCTACCCGAATCTCGACTTGCTCACGGCCTACGCCCAAATGTAGCATGCCAACGCCGAGACAGCCAAAATTGATGCCAAGCCTCTTCGCCTAGGATGTAGGTAGTAATTAAGAATTGGGGTCAAACAATTTACACGTCGTTAATCTCGCGTGCCATATTCCAGTACTTTGGGAGTCGTCAAATTCAGCCTGAAAAGAACCAGACCGTGGGGATTGGGGCTCTGCAGTGTCAGAACATGATACGTCAAGATTTAGAGGGAAAGAGACCTAACGATCGAGACTACCTACCCACGTAGTGAGGGACCTGCTTTTGATGGTATAAATTACGAAATACAAACCCGGACAAACGATGCGCGTTGCCGACTACACAAGATGCCAAGCTTCCCTTCGTGATCATCGACGGCTAACATCTCCGGTTCGTACATATTTGAGGACCACAACAACTGGGAGTTAAAATTGCTGCTACACACAAAACTTAGCTCGAATTCTCGATGGCGGGACATGTATCGGCGAGCTCTTCCTCAATTCCGTCTTGGCGAGCTGGGTTTAAGCAAGTTGGGACCAGCATGTAAGATTCGCGATTGGCGTGGGAACTGGAAAATATTGAAGTTGGTGTGTGCGCTAGCCGCTATTCCCATATCGTATGGGTGTCGAGCGAACGCGTCCAATGGCTTGAGTCTTGAAGGGACGGCTTGGCGTCAGCAAACCGGGCCAGATTCGAGAAACCCTTTTTCCCATGGGCTGCTGGGTTTGAGCTCGAGATGCATGACCTTCTGCGGGGAGAAATGTAGCCAAAGGGAAGCCCCAGATTTCTATGAACACAAGCTGGGGATATACCCCTGCTCTTTTACCCCGGAGTCTTAATTGTAATATGGAGTTGAGGGGGAAAACGTGCCAAACCAGGGCTATCATGACGGGACAAAAATATACGACCCGGCGGCGCAGCCAGTTCTCCTTGGGGTAATGCGGTCGAGACAGGGTAGGAGAGCCAACTCAAAAGGACGATAAAACCCATCACTTGAGCCCTTTCATAGAGCAGCTACGCGTTGTTCCAATCCCTATTTTTTTGGTTTTTGTTTTTACAATTAGCTCAACTTTACTTCCTGCACAAATGGGTGGCGCGGGCAATGCCGGCTCGGGCAGCGAGGCTGATCCCATCATCACCCGTCTTGTAAACGCGGATAAGGTTAGATGGTACCGGAAACCGAACCTGCGATATCTCTATTTCTTATTATTCCCAACTTGCATGGGAATCGAGTTGACATCAGGCTTTGACTCGCAAATGATCAATGCATTGCAGATAGTGCCGTCGTGGATTTCATGTAAGCCGTCGTTAAGGCTACCCCCTAATAAAATTCTCCACTGACATGAAGGACAAAAACAAAGACTTTGGCAATCCCCAGGGGTCTCTCAAAGGCATTATCGCCGCCGCATACTCACTCGGTGCTATCCTTTCGCTCCCATTCATCGGCATCGTCAATGACAAATTCGGCCGTCGCTGGTCCATCATTGGAGGCTCCGCTATCATGGTAATCGGTGCTTTAATCCAGGGCTTCTCTGTCAATGGTAAGGGGCTCATTATGAATTACCAAGCGTTCGTTATTCTCACCAAGGTATATAGTTGGCATGTACATCGTAGCTCGTCTCATACTGGGATTTGGCATTCCCACGTGTATCGTTTCCGCTTCGTCCTTGATCGGAGAGTTAGCATATCCAAAGGAACGCCCGGTTTTGACTTCGCTTTTTAACGTGGCTTACTTTGTGGGCCAAATTACCGCCGCAGCCATTTGCTTCGGAACTAACAACATTACAACTAATATGGCATGGAAAATCCCTTCATGGCTTCAGATGTGTCCGTCGCTGGTGCAAATAGCTTTTGTTCTGTAAGTCCTAACAGATTTTTTGGCTCCCAAAAATTGATACAGGTATCTAACACCATACATAGCTTTCTACCTGAATCGCCAAGATGGCTGGTTCAACAAGACCGCGTAGAAGAAGCATTTAACGTCTTGGTGACATACCACGGCGAAGGGGACAGAGAGTCCGAGTTCGTAAAGGCCGAGTTCGCTCAGATTCAGGCAACAATCAGCATAGAACTTGAGCATTCTAAACGGTCATGGGCTGATCTAATAGCTACGGCTGGTATGCGCCGCCGAATGCTGATTAGCTGCGTACGTCGACTCTTTTTCTCTGCATTTTCAGTTCCACTCAATGTATTGCTATGTTTCAATGCCCATATCTTCCTTCAGACCAACATATAAGCCTTATGGCAGGAAGATTTCTTAATTCTTAAACGGTGTTTGCTAATCTTATTCAAGATGCTCGGTCTATTTACACAATGGTCTGGTAACACTCTCATCTCGTACTATCTTGGCGATCTCCTCGCCATGATTGGTAAGAGTGACTCGGTATTCAAACAGCAAATCAATGTGGCCAATTCATGCTGGCAACTTGTTTGCGGTACGTGTGTTGCGTTTCTTGTAACCAAGTTCAAGAGACGTCATATGTATCTTGCCTGCACTATATCACTACTATTCGTTTACATATCATGGACAATTAGTATGGAGAGAGCTATCGCCGGAAAGGAATCAGGCCATCCTAATAATGCGGCAAACGTGGCTACGATCTTCTGGATCTTCGCCTATTCTCCCTGCTATAATATTGGATATAACGCCTTAACTTACAGTGAGTTTATGAAATGTTCTTGAATCACTAACTCATTTTGTCGCCCTTAATTAACTTACTATATAGCTTACCTGGTCGAGCTCTGGCCTTTCGCGGAGCGCTCCCGTGGTATCGCATTCTTCCAGCTCTTCGGTCGTTTAGCCGGCTTCTTCACAACCTTTGTCAACCCTATCGGACTTGGGAATGTTAGCTGGCGATATCTGATATCTTACTGTTGCTTCTTGGCTTTCGAGATAGTATTTATTTATTTCATATTCCCCGAAACGTTCGGCAGAACACTAGAAGAGCTAGCCTTCTGTAAGTCAACTTGGCTTGAAAACTTTATGGTATAAGGTCCGAGCTAACAGTTAAACTTGATAGTATTCGAAGATAAGGCTCTAGCTGACGAAGCCGTTCATGCTGTTGAGAAGGTAGTCGTACACCACGAAGAGCCCGCTATTAATAAAGCAAGGTCGGGTGGAAATGTCATTACAACTTCTGAGCTTGGAAAAGAAGTATAAATAGCGGCTGCTTATCTGTATATGTATTACCAGGTATGCTATAACTTAGGATAATGGATAATGAGGTGTCAGTGATGATCAGTTATGATCATCTCGCAATGGAATTTTAAATCACAGAGTTATAAATAACGCTCCTGAGATACAGAGCAAGCTTCAAGTTTGTAAAAAACCCTACCTAGCAACCTAAATACCACTCACATCGAATTAGAAAAGCATGATGAGACATTGCTTATCTTTCGGTAGTTCAAGTGTTACCCCAATCTAGCTCTACTACCACATCTTCATCCCCTGCATAACCCCCACCGCGTCTCCCCATCCTACTATGTAGATGAGACCGGTGATAACGAATACCTCCTCCGAGACGTCAATTTTAACATAGGTCCCGCTTCATTGGCTACTCCCGATAAGTTGCAATAGGTCAATGATAGATGATAGGTACGTCGAAGGTGACACTAATTTATTTAGATCTATGTAGGTACCTACCTAACCTAATGCAACCTTTCAACTTGACCTGGAGGTAATGATGCAATGCAGATAAGCGTGTGAATACTTGAATTAACAGTCATCATTTTCCATGGTCATCATTTTCCTTCGTAGCAAGCTTGTCCTGTTGACTGTCATACTCATGCAAGCGAACCATGGCGATGGCGTTTGTTGAAGTTGTGCAGGCAGCAATCGGTGCTGGCCCCCTCGACGAACCTCCAGAACGTCGTTTAGCCCCCAATACTCCTCCGGACTATGACATATCTGGAACAAAGACGAATGTAGAAAAAAAGAGAATTGGAACTGGGACACAGGAATCCCCTGACGTCTCTGTTGAAACAGGCACAGCGACTACCAAGTCGGTTCAGGGGATCTGGGGTAAGAAAGGTAGATGGCTTATCATTGCTGGGTAAGTTGAGCTTTGGGATGCAAGTATGTTTTAACGAAGAGACGAAAGAGATCGAAGCTGACCTCTTAAGTTTATGCCTGATCATGGTTGTATAGTAAGACAAATATCAACGGGAAGAAACAGGTACAACTTCGAGGCTGCTAACACCTGGTTGATATAGCGAGATTGACAACAGCACCGTTTATATATACCGCAACTATGCCTCATCGGAGTTTGGAGAGCTGTCAAAAATCGCCGCCTTAAGCACAGCCGGGACGATTATATTCGCCGTTGCGAAGCCACCCATCGCCAAGCTGTCCAACGTCGTCGGCCGCGGAGGGACATATCTCATTTCCATGAGTCTTTATATCCTGGCTTATATCATCATGGCTTCCTCTAGGACCTTTAATGCTTATGCAGCTGGCTCTATTTTCTACCCCCTCGGCCAATCTTCTACCAACTTAATGAACGACATTATAATTGCAGATTTAACAACTGCCCGATACCGAGCGTTCGGCATCGCCCTCTCATTCTGGCCTTTCCTGATTACACCCTGGATCGCTGCTCTTATTGTCGACAGCGTGGTTGCGCCCGCAGGAATCGGATGGCGTTGGGGAATCGGTATGCTAGGTATTATTATGCCATTCTGTGCGAGCTTTATCGTCACTACATTGTTGTATTGTCAGATCCGTGCACAGAAGGAAGGGCATGCATCCAGGAGAAGTATTTCCCTGTACGAGTTCTGCTCGCAGATTGACCTTGGCGGCCTAATCCTATTCAGCGGCGGCCTAGCCCTCCTGCTCATACCAATGACACTGGCTGCCACGACTCCCTCGAGTTGGAAGACGCCGTCGCTTGATGCGCTGATTGCTCTTGGCATAGCGTTGCTTATGGCTCTCCCTTGGTACGAACAGTATTTGGCCAAGCACCCCGTAGTACCCCCACGGTATTTTAACAACCGCACTATTGTCCTGTGCTGTCTTCTTATTGCCATGGATAATATTGGCTTTTCAGCAACACGTAAGGCATCCCCAAAGTGCTTTCTTTCCCTTTCCGACGCGACAACGTCTCGGGTTCGAGACTTGAGATAAGAGCTAGATACCATTCGGGTCCCATATGCTTGACGTTCATCCGATAGCTAACTCCAAGACACAGATACTTATATCTACTCTTGGGTCACAGTGGCCCGGGGCCTCGACGCCCGCGATGCAACCTTTTTCACTTGTGAGATATTATAATCATATTCGTCCGCTAATATAGCCAAAGATATTTGGATTCCGGTCCTGAATGCTAACTACCTCCGTAAGATACCAATGGAGTAACGCAGTGCCTGATCGCGATTGTTACGGGACTAGCAATAGCCAAGACCAGGCGTTACAAATGGGTTTGTGTTCTCGGCGCTACCATACGTCTGGTAGGATATGGAGTCATGGTTCACCTCCGAGGATCCGAGAATAGCACCGTGGAAATATTCATCGTGCAGTTCGTACAGGGCGTTGGTAGCGGCATGGTCAGCTCGACTTTACTTATCCCAGCACAGGCTGTCGTATCGTATACCGAAATGCCTCAGATCACCGCCTTGGTTATCTGCTTTGCTTTCGTCGGGAGCAGCATAGGTTCCTGTATCGCTGGCGGCATATACACAGGTATGATTGAGACGGAGCTATCCGCGGCCCTGGGCGATGTAGCGACGGCGGAGACGGTTTCTGCGTTGGCAAATTCGATTACAGGTGCCATTGTTCCCGAGTGGGGTACCCCTGAACGGATCGCCGTTAACTTTGCAGTAAGTAGACCGACACTGAGCCCTATTTACATATAACGTCGACCTAATATTTATCAGTTTACGGAGGTGATGAGGTATATGACATACGCAGCCGTGGGTCCCTCTGCGATTGCGCTCGTCGGGTCATTCTTCATGCCCAACTATGAATTGCCGTAAGTAACATGAGTTTATTCAATTTCTGTATACAAAGGAAAAAAAGAAAAAAAAAAGCGCTACCTGTCTTTGGTAGTTGTACTCGCTAACCGGGTATTAGAGATAAAAACAATCTCGTCGAATGAAGAACAACGGGGATAAAGGCGCCAGCCCCCTGCGATAGACATCGTGATACCAAAAAAAAACAAAAACAATTATTAGGTAGGTAGTCTTACCGCATGGGTGGCTAATAAGTAATAATGTTGCTTTGTATAGGTACCTCCGAGCATATATGGATGAGATGGAGTTGAGAATGAATTGCAATTTCACGTACTGCCCGAGCTATGAAGAGTCACGATTCATATCAAGTGATAATTAAGGGGTTATCCTCGCCTGAAACCCCCAATTAACTTCAGACAGCCTGTGAAATGCCATAGACAGCTCGTCAGCGTGGTTGGGATATATATCTTGGAATGGGTGGTAATCAGGTTCGCAAGTAGTTCCAACTTTCGGCAGGGTGCCGTTCTGAAAATAAGCCCGAATATGGCTGGCTGTGCAAGTCGAAGCGGCAGAAAGGCTGGTATGCTGCATGGAGAATTATGTTAGCTTACAGGACCTATATAAAATCAATAATATTAGATCACTAACGCCGTAGGAATTTTGCACCAAGACGACAGAACCGGGGAAACCTTGGGAGTTGTTTCTTGCACTGATGAGCGGAGATATGTTATCCGCCATGTTGGCCACGTAAAGGATCGGGTGACTCGTGTTGCCCTCGAATGGGCCATCATACCTCCATTTTGGTCTGATAGTCCTGCCTATACATGCTAACCTAAAGAGGGCATTGACGTCGCCAGCAGCAGAGCTAATCCGCATAAGCCGGTCGACAAACTCTACAAAGTCCACAACAGTATCCTTTACCGGAGGCGAATCCGCACAGAGAATTGCAGGAAACGCGTCATCATTTCCTTCTTCTAACCTCGGTACGTTAGGTGGCATTGCTTCTATCGAGCATATCGGGGGCGCTGACTTTTCCGACTTGATTAATTGGTAGAACGGGCCACCGTCGCCATCTTCTAGGGCTCTTAGGACCTTGGCGAACTTCTTGAACATAAAGATAGGTCGATAAAGCGTAGCAGAAATCAATCTCTTCAGGTGGGACCAAGTGATTAGCTGAGGCATATCCGGTCCTGGTTCAGCAACTGGGACAATTATGGGATGCTCTCTAATTCGCTCGAGAAGGTTAGCCAACCTTTGCTCTATAGCCTTCGGGCTTGAAGCATAAAAGTCACAACTAGATGGGCCAGCCTCGTAGCAGAAGCTATAGAAAGCTTCCATTACTTTGTCGGTATCATGCAAAAAGTTGATGTGAGAGTTAAGATGCCATTCCCGGTAATCCACATTTCCTAAACACGTCTGTTAATATACTCTCATCAGCCCGGTACTGTTTTGAGACTGCTCTTACCGTCACTGACGAGTCTTTCAACCTTATCAGGATACATCGCGGCGAAGACCTGCATAGATCGTTGGGAGTTAGCATGGCGGAATGGGGAATAACGCAGAGCAAATGATGCCTCTGTTTTGAAGACATCCTTGATGAAATGGGCGTGGCAAGGAAGAAATTCAATTTGAGAAGTTCCTTACGCCGCCCAAGATTGTACCATAACTAAAACCCCAGTACTTAAGCTTGTCCTGCCCGGTCTGATGGAGGATTTCCAGTAAATCTCTAGCATGCGACGCGGTGCTGATGTGCAAAAGAAGATCTGAGCTATTCATATTTCGCTCACAAGCCTGGGAATAGGCGGTTGCTCGTGCGAAGGCGTCATTGATGACTCCCGGATGGGCATCAACCACACCAACGTCCTGCAACGCCCAGAGGCGACTCTTCTCTTGGGAACCCCAACAGTCGACACGCGGGAGCGACGCACCAATACCCCTTGGATCGAAGGATATTATATCGTGATTCCTACCAGCAATAGCTTGCAGAAAGGCGCCACGGTCTTTCAGTGCGTAAACTCCAGATCCACCGGGACCTCCTGGGTTGATAAATATTGGACCGCGATAGTCATCAAGTTGGACAGCCCTGAGGCGTATGACAGCCAGGACAACCCGTGCATGCGCATCATCGGACGGGCTAAGCCAGTCCATAGGCACGTCGAGCCTTGCGCAGTCGTAGGTGTCATTGTAGCAACGATGCCACCGTAAGGTTCTGCTAGGTTCGATATCGCCCCATTTCCAATTAGTGGAGGATGATGCTTGTATGCCTTGAGACTTGTTTTTTATAAAGATATAGAGCGATGTTGCTATGCGCTCCCCATCTAGCTTAAAGAGCAAGAAGGCTAGAGATAAGAGTCCAACAACGAAGCTCGCGGCTGACTTCCACAGATGCGACCGCGATGCTCTTCGTGATACCCGTGATACCCCGCGCACCCCGCCATTTAAAGAGGATGTATGGTCTTTAGCGCGTAAAGGACACATGAAGCCGAGGCCACTCGTGGCTATTTCACAACCTTAGGGATTGAAGATGTGGTAATTTGATGTTGTATTAGAAAACGTTTTCTAGTCTTGGGCCTCACCCAGTAAAACTCAGTAATACCTAGCCATAGCTTAGGTACCTAACGTAGCCACCCTACTGGATGCATCCAACGAAACATTTCTTTCTTCATGATGCATCTAATAAACTGGATGTCACATGACATAATGTATATATACTTCTCCTACTAGGTAGATCCCGTCTTGTACAGTTAGGTAACCTCAACATCTACAACATCAACAACAATACAATGATTCTATGATACTGGAGGTCACCCCAAAGATTCGGCTCTGGGGCCATCTTTAGCTGCATTCAACTGCTTTAGTATGCTAAAACGTGATCGATTTTTGCCCCGATGATTATTGGCCAAACTAGATAATAGGCTGTTCGATTGTTTAATAAGGCGTTCAGCTCTAGTTTGGATAGCACTAAAGCTCAACGTAGAGCTCGCGGGCGGATCCTCAAAACCTGGCCCTGCGGATCGTTGGCTTGCATCTGCATGGTCCGCGACTGCGTTAAAGCTTGCGTCATTGTCAGGTCGTGTTTTATTGTTGGCGTCCTCAATAAAACGATATCGGTGCCGTTTTGCTAGGTCTCTCGCATTCCGAAAGGCCGTAGTCCCATGTCGAAAGATATCAATATTACCAGTCAGCCCCCATGTATCAGTTTGGGTTACGTGGTACTCGGGCCGCCCCCCTTCGGTAGTCGGTTCGGTGAGATGGTGGGCGTACAACTTGAGTGTACCGTCATGGTAGGTCGAGCTGAACGTGTAAGCATTGTTGTCATAGACCGGTTCGTCCTTGCTGTAGTTTTGCAGGCTGTGCATGGCGCGAGATCCTATCGCTCCATCGTAACGAGCTTGCCGTGCTGCCGCCGCTGCACTGCCATCCGGGCCTTTTACTTCCACGAAGAAGTTCGGCGTTATCGGCTTGTCTTGCGTGGTCGACGGTACGATATGACGACTAAGCTTTTCGCGAGAGGACTGAGTTAACTGTGCAGGGTATGCTCCATAATAAATGTCTGGCTTGGCCAAGGTTATGGTTCCGTCTGTGAGGTGCTCGAGATTTCCAAACGCTGTGTTCCTAGCAGATAGGTGGCTATGATTCCTCGTACCAAGAATGGTTAGAATCACATTTGCTAATATGTCAGCTTCATCTTTTGCACGAGCATTATCCTCCTCAAACGCCTCGAATGTGCTATCAGAAAATTGGGAGGGCGATAGCGATGGCCTAGGTGCCGCTAACGCTATTCTAATATGGGTCAAATCTGGCTTTTGCGACGAATAAGAAGGGTATATTTGATAGTCTGTCAAATGCTGATCGAAATTACGGTTGTAGGGTGTTGTTGACTTGCTGCTTTTGTTCGTTGCTGAAGTGGGAAGAGTAGGAGAAGTGGGACGATCCCGTCTTGGCTCTGGATACTAGATGGTCTTATTTGTAAAAGACACTTCACATAGGGTATATAGCCTCACCTTACACCTCGAAGATCACACAGGTTTGGGTCGCCGTATCTCGCGAACCGGGCAAGGTCTCCGGGAGTGGTAGCGGTATGTGTTGGCGGAGGGCGCCGAGTCTTTGTCCGTCGGTCCAGTTCTTCTAGTGCCCTGCGGGTTAGCTCGACCTTGGACAGTCTGTCCCAAAATTCCGAGGGGTATTTCCAAGATGCCCAAGCGTCAAGTTCGATTTCGCTTCTCGTCTTTAGCTTCTTTGCTTGAGGGATGTCTTGCGGACAGCCCTCTTGCGAGATTTCGTTTGCGCGTTGTCTTTTTCGAGTCTATAAACTTGCCATGACCGGATATGTGTCAAATAGACTATGATAGCAATTGTGCTATTAAATACACTTTTGGCTCAGCGGTTTGTGTCCTTGGTAATATAATTAAATGGTCTTTGAAGTGCCCGAACGTATGTAGGATATTATATTTTAATTCGATTTGTCCGAATTAAGAAGTTCATGCCCGTACTTGTTCGGGATTTCGGGATATTGTATCGAACCATGTCGTCCGTTGTGTGCAACACTCTAAGCGTTTTTATTAGATGCATCGCTAAGGAAGACTTGAGGGCAGCCCTCGGGGGGCCAGAAGTTCTATCCCTTTGAAATAAATGTTACAAGAAGAGGTAAAGAGAACAAAAAGAAAGAAAAAGGATGTGTTAGGTAGGTAGGTAGGGGTTGAACTAGGTACCTAGGTACCTAAGTAGGTACTTTAGAACAGAGGTAAGTATCTAATCAAATCCGGCCTTTCTGTCAGGAGTCTCACTTGAGACTCCTTGGAACAAAGGAGTTATTCTGTAGTTAGAGTCCCTTTGCGGAACAACGAAGTTGTTTTACCTACCTCATGCTCTGCGACGTGACACTTTCAATTAGTAGCCTGCTACAATTGCATCATTTCAATGGCTCGCAGATAATGTTGTTATTCCAAGGTTGCTTCATGCGCTTAGGAGTCGACTAACGAATACTCTAGTTTGGTGGCCTTGTCATGAGACCCCAAAGGTATGGTTAATGTTGAGGAATAGGACATATCCCTCTTATTTCAGCGATCCCATCCACCTATGTAATTACTCACTTCCCGAGCCGGCCTCGACAAACAGCATAACTTGCCATAAGGTTCTCTTTACTGATTATCTATCGGTAGCGAAAACATGTCGGCTTCAAATCCTCCAGTAGACGGCGATGTTGATCGCCGGCCAACCCTAATAGCCATCTTCTGGACAGAAATAGTCATTTCAACCCTTTTTGTCACCCTTAGATTTTACACTAGAGCTAGGATTGGAGGTATCGGAGCGGATGACTGGACTATCTTAGCAACATTGGTAAGAAGTCAAATATGTGCATGCTTTCTCTAATCTTCTCGCAGGTTATGTATATAATTACACTCTCGCTTTGCACGGTCTTGGTATGCTATGGCCTCGGTCGGCATATTTATTACATCCCAGTAGACCATCAATCCGAGATAACCAGATGGAACTGGATCGTGCAGCCTTTTGGCATCTTGGCTCTTCCGATAGGAAAGATTTCAGTGGTCCTCCTGCTTGAGCGCCTCATGGGGAATACATGTGTTAGGTGGAGATGGTTTTTGTGGATGAACATGGCATTATTTACTGCGAGCATGATTTCTTCATCCATCATCAGCTACGCTCAATGCAACCCACCCCGAGCACTTTGGTCTCAAGTGCCAGGAGCTGTTTGCTTGGACCCTACTGTTAATGCGAATTTTGCCCTATTCGGCTGCGCCTATAGCTCATTTCTCGACTTTACGCTCGCCATCATCCCCATTACATTTGTGTGGAAACTCAGAATGTCAACTCAAAAGAAAGTCGGCCTTTACTTCTTGCTTGGCATGGGTGTTTTATCTGGAGTATGTGCCGCAATCAAGGCTGCCCAGTCGACCGAGCTCGGAACTCGACAAGATGTGTCATGGGCACTCTTCTCTCTATATGCTTGGAGCGCGTAAGTCTTTACTATAAAATCATTTCTAGCCTAAGTGTGTACTAACTGCGAGATTGTAAAATGCGAACAGTTCTGAGATTTTTCTCAATATTGTGTGCGCCTGTGTGGCCACCCTCAAACCTCTCTATGACCACTTAATGAAGAGCAAGCCACTCCCGCGCCGAGCACAACATACCTACGAGTCTAGAATTGGTACTGACAGATGGGAATCGGTGTAGGTAGGGGGAAACGAGGTACTTCCTTACTATTTGGTTTCTATTGGTGTCAGATAAAGGGAGCCTGCTTTTGGAAAGGAGGGCATTTGTAACTGTAGAGACTATGGCTTAAAAACCCGGCACGTAGCATCCTTAATCCAGTGTTGGTGAACAGGCGCAGAATAGAGTGTAACCCAAGCCAGTTCCAACCAACTAGAAGTGGTTGGTGCTGTCTGCTATGTTGTACAACCATGGCCTGCATATGTTGTTTGTTTGACGCCAGAACTACATCTGGAACATTTGATCCCGTTGTTTCCTGTTCCAGTGTCTCTTCTTCGACACAAGAGAGGCTGCTTGCTAGAAATCAAAGGAAAAGTCCAATGGATACCACAAATATGTCGGACATTATTGCTCAGCTCGAAGCTGTTGCGAACAACCCGCCTGAAGACTCTACCACCAGACTCAGTCTCTACGATGGCGCCAAAAAGCTCATTGCGGCTACCGAGGACCCGTTCAACACCATTTGCCGTGTAAATGCATCCGTGAGTTCATTGGCAATCCCGTAGGGCAGTCAAACCGAATTAATGTGTTGCAGCCCATGGTCCTCACCATCTGTCAAGTCGCCTGTGATCTGAACATCTTCGGATAGCTAGCAGGGGCTAACTCTCCGCTTTCGACCGAGTTGTTAGCTGCTCCTTCGGGCGCCGACCCTACGTTTCTAAGTTAGAGCATTAACCTGAGGGAAGATGAAATATGTGTCTAACTAGGAATTCGTAGGCCGTATCCTCCACTTCCTCGCGTCGAATGATATAGTTCGAGAAACGGGAGAGGATGAGTTTAGTGCAACTGCGGTTACTCGGACCCTTGCCCGTCCAGGGTTCCAGGCAGGAATTTCTCATTCGTAAGTCCATCTTTAAAGTAGTATTTGATAGTGCCTAGTCTGAATGTCTAACCCGAAAGGTTCATGGCTTCCATGCCATGTCTTCAAGAGACACCACAGTTTCTTGCCGACACCAAATACGCCAACCCGACCGATGTCTTGCATGGCCCCTTTCAGATCGTCCACAAGACTGATAAACCGGCTTATGCATGGGCTATGGGACAGCCCAAGCTCATGGCCGACTTCAATCTGTGGATGGCTGAGCAACACCAGGGTCAGAGGACCTGGCTGGACGTCTTCGACTTTGAAAATCATGTGCGAAGCTCAACGGCAGACACCATCGTATTCGTTGATGTTGGCGGCGGAATTGGGCAGCAGTGTGCTCTTCTCAAGAAAACACACCCTCAGGTCCCGGGCCGCGTGGTTCTGCAGGATCAGCCTTTTGTGCTGCCCCATGCCGTCCCCGTAGATGGGGTCGAGAAGCAAACTTTTGACCTCTGGGCTGAACAGCCCATTAAAGGCGAGTCTATATGCTCCTTATCAGCTTGGCAAGCAGTACAAACTAAACAATAACAGGCGCTCGGATATATTACATGCGGAATATACTGGAAGACTATCCCGATGATAAGGCAATCATCATCCTGAAAAATACGATGCTTTCCATGGCACAAGACTCGCTCCTCATCATCGATGAGTTGATCATTCCTAACCGTGGTGCAAGTCCACGTTCGACGTTTCAGGACATGACCATGATGATTACTTTGGCATCGGCGGAAAGGACTGAGCGGCAGTGGGATGCTCTTCTCGATAGGGCAGGTCTGGCTGTGCGATAGAAAACCGCGTACAATACTGCCACGGGGGAGAGTATCATAGTAACAGCCGCCACGACGAGCCATTAGACACGGCCGTGCAGCATGTTCGATATTGCTAAAGTCAATGGCTAGTTCACTTCGCAATTTGCCCAGTAAGGTACCATAAGCACGACGGCTCCAGGTAGCTAAAAAGGGGACATTTTCGGATTGTAACCTTGACCTGGGTGATTATAATTTATCAGGTGTCAGAAAATACAATTAATCATGCCTTAAATCCCTTATTCAATTCCGATTTTACTCTGCCTCAACGTCACAAGGCTTGCATACGACATACGACTATAAATTTATACCTATAGATATATCTTAGGCAACTATCCACGTTCTTGCGTTAATTTCTTGTAAGGGGTGGCCTTTCCATTCATGTGGCTCATCTATCTACCTAATTTACCTCACAAACGCTGCGCCCTAGAACGAGTAGGGAAGGTTCATATAGTTCACAGCATACTAAGGTAGGTAGTCTACGAGCACCAATATGGTTTATATTTAGACGACGACAGTTATCCGAATCACCCAATTATTAGCACAGTCCTCAAGAAATTAGCGGTCCACCAATCATTGTATCATGTTGTCGTACCGTATAGAGGGCGTATGGAGTACAACGTCACCAGCTTCGTAGGTCGTGGCAAGCCATTTTCGTCCATGAGCCTCGGAAAGTCCCTTTAGTTCATCTGCAAGTAAGCCACCACTCATCATATTCTTCTTGAACGCAGCTTTGAGGACGTCCTCTCGCGGTAAGAGGCCCTTTAAGAAAAGATAGCCATCATGTTTGTACCGCTGACGCAGCTCATACAGATGTTCGTGCGGAGATGAAGGACGGAGAGAATCGACTTGCGCAAGTCCTAGCTGTCCGTCGTTGACGTATAGGTGGTTAGAGAGCGGCGAAATTACGGCGTGCGGTATCGTTCATAATGAGGAGGATGATTAAGGAGGCATTTAATTCGGCGGCTGCGGTCTACTTGAGATACCTCTCCTACAGTATGTACATAAGGGAAAAAACCTAAAAGAAAGGCTCAGCCTGCTCAGCTTTAAGTTACTATTAAATAATCTAATATAGGGCTAGACTACGGTACTTTAACACGGCGATCATGCCTGTCCTCGTGACAATCTTGATAGAATGAGAATTTATGTCGGGCATCACAACATGGAAACAAGCTCCATTCGATCAGCACCCCAGAACAAGCCCGCATTTTCTCCCCTATTTCCCCTATTTCCCCTAATCACCCCGCAGAATCTTTAACTCACTTGTGTGAGAAATCCAACTCTCTGCTGTCGTGTCACCGTTCGCTTAGAATAAGTAATTACCGAGATAATCACCTATGCGGCGAGATGATCCTTGCTCATGAGGTTCTGCGTTACATACAAGCATAGAAGTAGGCATCTCATTCTAGGATTTATGTGTACGGTAACCATGTTTCAACTTTGCTAAGCCAGGCGATCGAGTTCCGCGCACAATTTATCCATGCAATTAATTGGATTCCCGTTCAATTACCCAGAGCAAAGCAAATCGAATATGTTCAATATAAAGCAAACGAAGCCCATTCGTCGAACAGACGGCGACATCGGGAAACGTCCTGCGAACCTTCGCTACGTTTACTTCCTTACTACGTTCGTTTCGATTGGCGCACTCCTTTTTGGATATGGTAAGCCCGCCCCGTGTATCCATCGGGTTGGAGTGTCAGACCCCACGTAGAATTCCGCTGACAAAAGCTTCATAGACCAAGGCGTTATGGGAGTTATCGTAGTAGATGTTAGATGAACTTCTCTCATGAAGTTAGCAAATAGCTGGGTAACAGGCGTAGTAGTATCACTTTATGACATTGGTTGTTTGGTTGGTGCGATGTCTATAGGTTTTCTCGTTGACAACTGCGGCCGCGAGCGAACTTTATCGATTGCTTGCGTGGTTTTCATGATTGGCGCTGTACTACAATCAGCATCTTACAACATCACTTCCGTCACGGTCGGGCGTGTTATATTGGGATACGGCGTTGGTACATGCGCCGGCGGCGTACCGCTATACGTATCCGAAATCGCGCCGGCAAAGCTAAGGGGTCGCATCATCGGAATAGAGCAGATAATTCTTTGCTTTGGCGAGCTCGTGGCTTTCTGGTTAAACTATGGGTTTAACTTCCTCGAAACTCCGGATTGGTGGCGCATTCCGCTCGCCATCCAGATATTGCCAGCAGCCGTCTTAGCAGTCGGGTGCTGGGTTTGGGTTCTACCCAGCCCTCGTTGGCTAGTCCAGCAAGACAGACACCAATGCGCTCGTGAAGTCCTCGCCAGACTTCACGGCGATGAAGCAGCCGATCTGCAAATGGCAGAGATAGCACAGGAGGTAGCGTTTGAGAAAGTAGTAGCGAGGGCAGTATGGGCTGACATGTTCAAGCCTCCCGTATTGCGCGTCACGCTGCTTGCTATGGGCGTGCAGTTTTTCCAGCAGATCACAGGTACTAAATCGATACTCTATTATACAGTAAGCGCTCGGGGTTTCATCATTTCTTTTATGCTGATAATAGGTACTGAATGCTTGCTAGCCATCTCTTTTTGAACGTGGAGGGATCGCAGATCCTAAGACGGCTAACCTAGCTACGGGAGGAGTTGGTATAGTATTGTTCGTCTTTGCTTGGATCCCTATCTTCGTATTCGACCGCCTGGGACGGAAAACATGGCTACAAATAGGCCTAGTCGGGATGTGCTGTGCAATAATAGGGATCGCCGTTTTACAGTGGCATGCCGAAAGAAATCCCAATGATCATGGAAATTACGCCATTGTTGCTTTTCCGTATCTCTTTTACGTATTCTTTAACATTAGTTGGGGTGTGGGAAGCTGGACCTACGCTACGGAGATATTTCCCGTCATGTATCGGGCAAAGGGTAACGCTCTTTCAACGGCGAGTCTATGGCTGAGCTGCTACGTGGTTGCGCAGGCGAGCCCCCCGATAGCTACGTCCATCGGCTGGGGTCTCTACATCATCTACTCCTCCATATGCGTAGTGGCATTTATATTTGTACGATATGCGATGGGTAAGGATATACTTCTTCTCCTTCTTGGACCTGAATCTAACTGTTGTAGTGGAAACGAGAGGCAAGACGCTTGAGGAGATGTCTGCTCTTTTCGGTATAGAAAGAACGCTGGCAAGGAAGAGCGGATTAGAGGTTAGCAGCAAATATGGTGCTGCTCATGTTGAAGAAAGTCTCCCAGGAGAGAACTAATACCTAAGCCATTAAAACCCCTTAGTTTCGTAGTAGAATGTCAAGTACCTCTTCCTCGTAATGCTAACACGACAGGCTTGTGATTGTTACGGATAACTAAATGCCAAGTTGCTCTTAAAGCATGCAGGGAGCTAATCTAATTGATATTAAGATGCTGTATATGAAGCAAATTGATAACGACATGAGCATCCTAGCCGAAACCTCGTCCAAAACAAAAAAAAACAAAAATAGAGGTGATTAACAATGAATAACTAACTACCTGACACCTAACATATACGTTATCGACCAGATCCTCAACTTCGCTGAAAAGTTTTTCATGGATTCTCGTAATAGTTCAGTTCAACCTTGAATCTTCGAGCTAGAGTAGAGTTAAGTAAACTCAAGCCGTCTCCGGATCGTCGTTATGAAGTATTTGTGGAATGAGCAAGCGTATCTGCTCCCCCAGAAGTGTTCGAATGATGTGCTGTAGTGTGTGCATCCGTCCTCGGAACACCTTTACGTTCCCACTCGCGTTGCGCAAACATGTCATCGACCTTTTTCACGTCTTGCCTCCCCTTCTCTGCAATCGCTCGGTTCTTTGCTTGCGCTGTTTGAGTTTCCGGGTGGGTTTGGTCATTGTCAAATGCCTGATCCGTGACCTCCATTGCCTCGCCCCGGATAGCGTCACCGGCCCCGCGAATACCTTTGAGGCCTGTCTTAACGTCGTCTACTATCCTTGACATGATTGCGATTTGGTTCGAGGTGGTAAAATCAAATGATAACAGGTAGTCTCTCACAATATGTGAATATCAAGACTACCTAACCTAAGTACGCTTAGAGTAAGGTGACTGCGGTTAAAGTTTAGCTGAAGAGAAAGATTTCGACGGTCCATAGGCAGGGTTATTTCAACCACTTGCTTACCTACCTACCTGTATAAATGATTGTCTCCTAAGCACTTAGTTGTCGCTAGTGGGAAGATAGTGAATGACGTATAGATTACCTCAGTACGCAGTTCCATCCAATCACATCCTAGACCCGGTTCCGTAATAGGCAATTCTTTAGATAGGGCTGGCCTTTCTGATGTCATAATTTATCCATATGCTGTTCTACCATCATTTTGAATGATATCATGGTTTACGGAGTTAACTACAGGTAGGTAGCTTCCAATTCCATTTCTAATACTTCGGGCTCATAGGTACGTTGAAATTCCATGACTGTTGCTTAGAAGATGACACACAGCGGCATATTTTATCGCGAAGATTTCACCGTTGCTCTGGTGTTTCTCCGCTGCTACGAGCAGGCTAAATCGTACCTGGCCACAGGAGCGGCTTTATCCTTGGAATAATTCAGCGTTTCTCTCCCATAGGTCAGATACCTAGGTACCTAACGTAGGTACCTAAGGTGTCTATCTGCCTTACGAGGTATTATTACCAGCATCGACCTATATCACCCTAAAAATGGATCCAGAACTAAAACCAGCTTGCACTAGCATAGCATACGTTAAATAATATACACCGAGTATACAAATGATCCATCGAAAGCTGTCTTCCAATATGGACGAGTAACATAAATCGTGTGAAATATTTAACATTGTGCTGAAGTGGTGGGAAGGGCAAATACAGACTTTCGTGACAGAATCCAACTCGAACCATAACCGCTGAGTTTCCAGTTTCTTTGTTAGCATTTCTGTAATCGATATATCATAATGTCACCAAGTTATATATATTAGGTAACAATATCAATACGTCCCTTGGATACCTAAGTACCTACCTAACTGAAATTTACCTAATGCATCTCATACGTACGGTACATATGAGGCGATACGAATTGACTCCTGAGCTACCTAGCTTTGATTCAAAGACGCTCTTCTCTTAACCCACATTTTATGGCAGGACATTACTATTAAGTAATAGTCTGAAAGAAGCAATAACGCATAATGATAGGTATAGGGTAAGAGTAAGGGCATCTAGAAGTTTCACTGCATATATGCGGAAAAGAGCTAAGGACGATGTGGGCTCATTCACCGGCATACGACGTTGATCATCGCCGGCATCACCGGTAGACGGTCCCACATCTCAAGACACCCCTTGAAATAGCCCCAGAACTCGAACCAATCGGCTCGGAATTGGGTTGCCCTACAACGGAGTATCGCCAAGAACGCTTCTGCTTCTCGTATTCTCTCCACCTTCAACCTTCAACCTTCGTATTGACCATGCTGCACCTCGGCTGTATGCAAATGATGCCAGTCAGGGGCTCTCCTTTTTTTACAGAGTTATAAAGGATTGCCTAGAAAACGAATGATATAAAAGCTTCATCCATTGCTCTCAAAACTTATTTCTTGTCGATACCACATTCAACAGAAAATCTACCTCAGCACATCTCTATTTTACTTCAGTCAATACATAGCCGCCCATCATGTTCAAGCAACTCGCTCTTACACTCCCATTCTTGGTCGGGGCTTCGACTGCTATGCCACAGGCAACCCCAGGAGCAAAAATCGCACCCGGCGCCAAATTCTCGCTCATGGCTCTCCGATCCGCCAGTGAGGTTCATTTTGCCGGTTTCGAAGCCGCCAAGAGTAGTCTCTTCTTAAAGCTTCCCAGCCAGAACGCCTCATGCGATGCTGGCCCTGCCGATTATGCCACATTCTATCTTCAGGACGACGGCGGCCTCTACCTCTATGCCGCATCCGCAACACCTCAGCAGCTTTATGTCGATCGCTCGGGAATGGGTAAGTTTGATACCTACGATTCTTGAACCATTACGGTATACTGTGAGATTTATGCTAACATCTCGATTAATAGGCCAGGGTAAGCTCGGCTACACGACTGGAGCTCAACCGACCCCCCGAAACGGCGAAAGGACTTCCTTCGCGCTTGACGAAAGCAATGACTTGACTTTCAACGGAGCAGGCTTCATCGCTTGCCCTGATAGCATAGACGGCGCCTGGAGTGTGTGGGTTTCTGCGGGTGTAAACCAGCCTGCAGGTAACCAAGGCTGTCTTGGAATCTCAGTACGTGCTGTGGAGGTTTCCAAGCCTAATGGTTGCTTGTATACGGAGTAATTAGTTGAGATGGTGTCAGGAGTCTCACTTGAGTCCTTGAGGATAAAGAACATGTTTGTATACAGCTTTGGCTTCAAAGCTATCGTAATTAGATTAGGGGAATAATGAAGTTGTTTACTTATCTGATGCTTTGCGATGTGACAGCTGGTAGCGTCTATGAAGCTATAATATGAGTTAAATTTGGTAGATTGGCTAATTATTATTCCTGCTTTGCCAACGTAGGTATTTCGTTCCCTATGGCCCTTACAGAACTTCGACCAACGAGGGCATGTTGGTCAGCTGTTAGAACGATTGCGCACATAAAAGGTACCTAAAGGTAAGGCAAATACCTAAAGTACCTGGCTGTAATAGGTGTGAAAATCCTATACTTAAGATCTGGGGTTAATATTACCTATATTTCGTTTGATTGAGAGGTACTTTGGTATTGTGAGGGGGAGAATTACTGGTATATTCCAGAAGTACAGTTGCAAAGTAAAACATCCAGATAGTAAATTACCTGGGAAGGTTGCACGCGGATTGTTTTCCCATTATATGGATAAGTACCTTTACGTAGGAGGTAGTTTAGTGCATGCCTAACATATAAGCAGTTATGGTTATAACAAACACTTTATGGCTTAATGTTTTTCCCCTCCATTTGGTCTGTTAGGTTAGGTAGGTACCTTAGGAGGTAGGTAAGCATTACGATTCACTATCGACTTTCTGTGGCTTCATGCCGACTAGATAATTCTTTAAAATCAATGATAACTAATGGGAAGGCAGGTTCAGCCCTGTTTCCGACTGATATCGACCGAATAACACGGCAAAGCAACGCTTAACTAATTCGTAGATTTATCAGTAGTAAGCCAGGCCTTAATCCACGACGCCCTCGACGGTTTCCTCCTTGAGGTCGACATCTTTCTTCGCGATATCCTTCCTATCAGACTCGGAATCGTCATTATTGACGATCTGCTTGGTGAGAGTTCGCTTCATGCCGCGACCGCGCTTGCTCGGAGTAGAGGCGATGAAATCACTACCGCCATCCTCATCGTTATTGGTAACCTTGCGCTTGCGTGAGCCTGGAGTAGTTTTGGCCCGCGCGCAGACTTCGTAGGTTTGGCAGTTGTGGTGGGACTCTCGTTACCATCCGTCACCCTCTTCTTCACAGCCGTGCACATAAGTTAGAATCCGATGTATAATTTCCTTGTGAGAAATCGGAAGCGGGCAGTGCCATCATCGTATATCTGAATGTTACATATTTGGCTAGAAATATGGAAAAAACTCACCACCGATGAGATTCTGCACGCTTCTGGGGTTGGCGTAGTCCGTGAGCTCGGCAAGCTTCTCAAAATCAACCTGTGAATGAGCATGTGTTGGGACATCATTCTACGCTATGCACAGTAGCATATAGATGGCAAATTTGGAACTTTACTTACTTCGGGGGGAGTCTTGAAGCAATTCCAGGCCGTGGCAAGCACCTCAGCTTCTTTTTCGCTGAGACTAACTTTCTTATGACCAGACATCGTGCCTGGAATGCTCGATTGAGTTTAGTAAGGCTACCGAATAATTTCGTAATTTAATTATGAGGTGGAGGGTATTAAGAAATGTAGCGCATATATTTGGATGATTTCCGTTGTAAAAATCGGGTTTATGAAGTGTATGAACTGTACGGAAAAGGTTGTATGTGGAGAGAAAGAACCAAACGACGAAGGTGGTGAAGAAGCTGTGATGAGAGTGATCAAATGGAATAAGAGATAGGTGGACGTGCTTGGTTTTATGTGGCAGGTTTGCTTTTTTTTTTCTTGAACTTGTACCTCTGTTGAATAGGAAATGGCTTGTGGATTTTGCAATATGTCCTAGCAAGTATACCGTGGATTGTTGAGCATGTCGCTGGCCGTGGCGCACCGTGAATGCAAACCCCTCAGATGAATGATAGAGAAAGATATGAATGCCTAGTGCAACTTCCTAGACCTACGATACGTTATGTTCCTACCTGACCTGGGTAGGAGGCAAGCAGGTATTCCTAGTTTGAACCGATTTCCATTATCTCGTACCTAATGTTTCTATGCACATTTATTCTTCCTCGACGAAGTCAATAAGTGCTACGGGTATCAAAACTCCTGTTGATGCCAAACACTCCGACAACCGCGCCATGATATCCCCGCGTTTCCCGTAAATTCTCGCGCAAGTAGTCTTAACGTGTACATAAAGAGAAGGCATTCTCTAACATGGTATTATACCGTCTAGCAGACCTAGTAGACCTAGTATATACTCCTTAAAGCTTTAAATAAGCATGGTGTTGGAAGACCAGAAAAATGAAAATTCTTAGGAGGTAGACCAGGGTGTTATTATACCCTCGCTGGTTCACCATTTTGTTATGCGCTTGCAGCCTATTCGCATTTCCTGTAGTTTTATCGACGCCATCATTCCCAAGTAAGCATTTTGGTTACTACTGGCTCACTAACGGTTAGTGAAGTCTCATAGAGCTTTCGCTGAAACTTGAGTGTGTTGACATCGGTCGGCCACCAGAGAACGCAGGATCTTGAAGTTGAGTCGGCTATGAACCTCCGACAGGTGGTGTTTCCTGGCTAGTAGGTCTGTTTGGCCTGTTGATAGCTGTGGTCTGCAGCTGGGGAGACTGGGGAGACTGTTGAACAGCAGAGAAATATATTATCGCGCCGGTCTTGGGGTCGATGCAGGTTGTATATCTAGGATATGTAGGCTGGGGATACTGTGGGATGGGTTGACCGACGGGTCCTAAACCGGGCATCTGAGAGTACTGATTGAATGGGTACTGGCTTAGGAGAGTTTGATGCATCAGGGGAGGTTGATTGACGGCCTGGTTGTTCGTACGCTTTTTTCGGTACGTTAGTATAAAGAAAATCGCCAATCCAAGACCCAAAAGCCCCAAAAGACCAACACCAACACCTATACCAGCCCGGGCGCCGCTAGATAAGCCTTTCCAGTTGCTATTCGGATTTGTTGATGTGTGCGTTACTGCTGTACTCGATGATGTCCTTGCCCCTGGTACATCTCCCACGCCGTCTGAAGTTGCCGTTGCTAGAATCAGGCCAGGGGTCAAGGGATGCGTCTCTAAGATGGAAAGGTCGCTTGATGCCCAACGTATCTGTATCATTACTTGTGCATCTACAACAGCCTGTTAGCAACTACTTTATGCCATAAGAACTAGGGTCATCCAGACACTTCTAGTACCAAAGAAAATATTTTTGGACTATCTAACATACAATCTAAGTCAGTGTTGGTTGCGTAGTAGTTCCATCCCTCTGGTGTGCACGAATAACCACTACAGTATCGAGTGTTAGGCCTTACTACAACGAGCCAGCTTAGGGTGCGGCTACCTCATCACGCAAAGAACAGCTGTCTCGGTAGGCTCGACAGATGGACCTTGAAAATCGTCGTATCTCGAGCAGCCGACAGTGAATCCGCTGGGACATACGGCGGGAGAATAGTAGTACGTTTCGAAGTAGCTGGCGTAGCCAGGAGGGGCACATTTAGGATTAGAAGTCCAAAACACATCGATATCCGTTGTAGGACGGGTAGAAACCGGGAAGCAGCCATCGGAGGGTGTCCAGATGGTAGTTAGCGCGGCTACAGGCGGCGTTCCGTCGTGGTCAAGGGAGGTTGTCCGCGGTGCCGGGGCGGTGAACGTAACCGTCGTGGTGGGCGTTGCGAAACCCATGATCTTTATGGCGGTACGCCGGAACCAGTAACAGCCTACAATGCTCTTGGTGATGTACAAAACAAGATAATAGCTACAGTTACTCGTCAAGAATCAGAGAGTAGATGGAAGAAAGGAAAATTTGGTGTACCTAACCCTTGGGGGATATTTCCCAAAATTATTTCTACTGACCATTTCTATCGTCCCATGGCGTCTTAGGATTGTCTGCTAGTACTTCCTTCTCGTCAGAGCATGCAGGGCTTAAAATCTTCTTGGCATTGCTAGCGATCACAGAGTCGAGACCAATGGCGGCGATGCTAGGAGACAAGGGTTAGGAGGTAAAGTTGGTAAACTTGGAGCTGGTTGCTTGATCCAGCTGCCAAGACCCAAGGGTCTCTTCTCCATGCATACATACCATACCTAAGGTAATTTTGGTAGCATCGTGGGTAGTTTGTGTAAAGAGCTCAAAACGTCTGGGGGCATTTATCACGTTATTCAGAGGTGATACGATTATTAGGACTTTATGCAAGGTAATAATCTAGGTACGTCAAGCATATAAATCTGAATTTTAGAAGGTAAAAGATTATTTGGAGTTTCAGGCAGATAACAAGAGGCTATTTTATTCTTCTTTTCTTTCAGCTCCAGCCTGGTCTGCATCGGCGTTGGACGCAAAACAGTAAATTAAGCGAAATGCCAAGAAAGACAGTGGGAACGCTGGACCTTCAGGAAAAGTCTTTGCATGGTTTAATTTTACAAGTGCTTGTTGATACCTAGAAGCTTTCTATATCGCTTCTTAGGTTGTTGATGTTGTCTGGTTTCCCCAGATTATACCTTTGCTAATACATACAAGCTACAGAACGATGTTAAATAAATAGCCAAGACTCTACATAGGTTAGGTACTCTTAATATTCAAGTGGTACCTGGTTTCCCAAGGCTCTCGGGGACCCGCTCCTCTGCGGTGGGATACTCGGCACTTGCTTTCCCCCTTGTACCTTTCTCTACGCCATCCGGAAGATCTGCTCCTTTCTCACGAACGCTATCAGTAAGATAACCAATTCTCGCCCCAGTGCCTTCTAACCCGGCGGTCTCCTTCTTTCGTTTGTTCAATTTGTCGCCCATTAGGTTGCCGCGCAACTCAGCCGACGTTTGGCCCTGAATTGGTTTGCCAAGGCCTGTATAAAGACCTTGGGATGTAGGGCCACCGAGTGTATCCTCAGGACCGGCCAATACTTCGGAGTTTGGATCCAATACTGGCGTCTCGCCGATGGGTCGGGGTAGGAACGTACGTTCCTGAGGCGCGGTGCCAGGGGGATGTTTTTCGGCGTGAAATTCGGGCACAGCGTCCTTGCCAACATTGACACCGGGTTTATGCCCGGTAGTTGTAAGAGGCTCCGCAGGTGGCACGCGACTGCGGAACTCGCCTTGGTGATATAAGGATTCGGTATTTCGGGTTGCTGACATTGTATAGGTAGCTAAGTATGTTTAATAACAAACGAAGTACGAGACAAAGTAAAGAAGCAACGATATTTTGACGATATTTCAACGATATTTGGGTTTAGGCTTTTGGGATGTGATTAACTTAGCTACCTATCTCATATAAGAGCTGCGGGTGGCAGACCTTCATATATCATAGAAAGGATGGCTAAGGATGGGAGACTTTACGTCACTAAGGTGTAATGAGGAGCTGGGGAAGAAAGGGTCTGACATCGCTGTTGTATCAATGGAGCATAAGCGAGGGGAGAGAAGAGGTATAAAGTTTGATTTGTGGAGAGATTGATAGGGGTTCGCCTCTTGCATCGAGATTGACGTGATGAGAGCATCATCGGGAGTTTTTGCTGCGGACAGTATGGACTTAGATGCTGATGTCGTAATATCCACTATCTACCTCCTATACCTACCTACCTACCTAGGTAGTGATTTTACCAATTATCTTACATTGTAGATGCACCTAGAAAAACAATACCTTATGAGGTAGGTAGATTAGGTAAGTATTCGATCCAAGCAGATCGTAGATATGTATAACTTGGTCATACTGAGAAATTGATTTACCACGCTGAATGGCCCGCCGTAGAATAGGGTTGGAATAGAGGTGCTTAATATTAAATGTAGAACGGGTATGTATCAATGAATTATCCCACTGATGGTTGGTTGGTTAGCCAACCACCGATATATCACTCACCAAACTTTTGAGGTTATTCTAAGTTGGTAATCCGTAAGATCGGCGGTTGCCGGGTCAGATTTGTTAGGTTGCATGGCGCAGTAGGTACCTACCTACCAGTACCTATTGTACAAGGTAGGTATTATATAGATTAGGTATCTGGGGTACCTACTGCACACTGTACAGTAGGTACCCCGCAACACGAAAGCTCATCCAATTACCTATAAGACAAGGGTCTATGTACCCAAGTATGTACCTACTCCAAGGGACAGTACAGTGTGGTGATATGTGACCCATATTATAAACTTGGGAAACGTTACAGCTTTACCTAGTAACGTCAGGGATTACCTCAGGTTTCCAAACCCACTTAGATTTTTTGTGGTCGTCTATTTCTTTGTGTTTTTGTTTCCCACTATTTACATATCTCTTTTCAGCGTTCTCTTTCTGTAGTCGTTAGATGTACTGTGAATACTTACCTAACATACTTGGGTAATCATCTGTTATTTATATACATTTTACCATAGTAAAATATATTATTGATCATCTCGTGTATTCAGTTTTATACTAGGTACCTCGGTATATAAACCGTACAATATACCTACCTAGTGTTGTATTAGGTTACCTGTACACACGGTACACAACCTACTTAGGTAGGTAGGTTAGATACCTGTAACTATATGATTTACGCTAAACCGGCTGACCGGGCACTTGTTCAGGAACCCGAACTTCTCAAGTCAAGTTTCAAGTCTTAAGTCCCACTCCTCGCCTTACGCATCGATCGATTTGAACATTGAACATTGAACATTTAAACCTTAAACCTTAGCAACGCCCCGTCGCTAGTTGGCGCTATTCGGCCCATGCTTTTTGGGGGACCAGCCCTCTCCCTTTCCCATCCCACCCTTGTACAAGTTTTACATACCTAACCTTCGGTACCTGGGAGTAAAACCATGAGTCGTCGATACTCTTTCGACTTTGAATCTGATGAGCGCGACCCCCTCGACAACCCGAAAGACCCAAATTCTAACTACGTACATTCCAGTCGCCAGCAGCGCTCTCCCTCTCCTTCCTCTCATATCCCTTCGCAAACATCACAGCCTCGATCTTACCAAGATCATCCCTCTCCGTCTTCCTCTTCCGAATCGTACCGTTATCCAGCACGAACTTCGCCCACGAGAGCATCAATTGACCCTAATGCTCGCCTCCATTTAGCATCCAATAACTCCCGCCAGGATAGGATATATAACGGAAGGGCAAAGAGAGTTGTCGCGCCTGAAACTGGGACTTTAGCCGGGGGGATCTATGTTGCGGAATACCCATCTTTATCTGGTCCTGTACCGCCGCCTCACCGAGAAAACAGTACATCCAGTTGGACATCCAGTTGGGGGCATCAGTTTTCTCAGCCTAACGTTACTCCGGGCGCCGACAATTTTAGCGAGACTGCCGCTGGTGGTATGTCCGGGCTGGCCATGAGTGTTGCGGAAAGGAACGCACGAGAAAGTGGACTAGAAGCCATGAGAGAATCTCGTCAATATCAGGAACCCCAGCGCCAACAGGTTCCCTATTCCGACGCGTACCAAACTACCCTGCCGCCAGAAGCACCCTACGATCAGTCTCAAAACCACGCGTACGATCGGAATTATGACACGCCCCAAGGTTACGGTTCCGCTCCCTATGGTCCACTCGATCAGGTCTACAATTCCTCACCTAGCCTAACTCCTTCAGGAACTGCAGCTATGTCTCATTCAGGCCAAGGGACGCCGACGCGGGGTATGCCTGGCTACTCTAGCGATCCGTTTCGGGATCCTCGCATGGCCTACGGTCGAAGAATGGACCCTGCACTTGATCAGTTCAATCCAAACGACATTGACGATGACGGTGACGATGGCCTCGACTACCGACGCTCTACTCGGAACAGCAAATTAGGTCTTGGGGGATCGAGTCATCGAGGCGGTAAGAGCATTGCAGCTGGTGCCACTGGCGCTGCGGCCGGTGCTGGTATCATTGGCGGCCTTATGGGAAGGAATCGAAATAGCGGCATCATTTATGATCCAGTAGATAACACGAGCTCTGCAGGCAGGCTTGGCGACGTGAGCGGTGGATACGACACGGGCGGCGGTGCAGAGAAACAGTCGGAGTGGTTATCCAGTCAAAACAACAGTCGCAAAAAGTGGAAATGGTTCATTCTAATACTTGTCGGCCTTATCATTGCCGGTGGAATAGTAGGCGGCATCGTGGGCGGCATTTTGGTTAGTAGGAATAAAAGTGGCGATTCAAGCAGCGCCAGTGGCGTCCAATCCGCTGCATCGGACATTGCTACGAACGGGGATTTGGACCTCACATCGAACGAGATTCAGGCACTAATGAACAACCACAACCTACACAAGGTCTTTCCTGGTGTCGACTATACGCCTATCAATGTTCAGTTCCCGGAGTGCCTTGAGAACCCGCCTTCTCAGAACAATGTTACTCGAGACGTTGCTGTACTATCCCAGCTAACAAACACTATTCGCCTCTACGGCACCGACTGCAATCAGACGGAGATGACAATCCATGCCCTGAGACAACTAAAGCTCGAGGACGACATCAAGATCTGGCTTGGTGTATGGCAAGACGGAAACGACACCACAAATGAGCGTCAACTAAGCAAGATGTGGAATATTTTAGACGAGTACGGGGCCGACCCATTCAAGGGGCTTATCATTGGCAACGAGATCTTGTTCCGGGAGCAGATGACCGCCTCACAGCTCAGCGAGCTCCTGGATTTGGTACGAACCAATTTGACCAAACATAACTGGAACCTTCCTGTTGCGACGAGCGACCTCGGCGACAACTGGGATTCGCAACTCGCCGGTATGAGCGACTATATTATGGGCAATATCCATCCTTTTTTCGCCGGCGTCAATGCTGAGGACGCCGCTTCTTGGACGTGGCAGTTCTGGGAGAACAAGGCACACGGATTCTTCAAAAAGGAAAGCGAGAAGAATGTCATCTCTGAGATTGGCTGGCCAACGAAGGGTGGAACTAACTGCGGCAGCAGCCAGGTGACAGATTGTCCTAACGGTTCTGTGGCAGGCGTCGACGAATTGAATACGCTGATGGAGAGTTGGGTCTGCCAGGCCCTCGAGAACGGGACCAATTATTTCTGGTTTGAGATGTTTGACGAACCTTGGAAAATCAGTTTCGACACACCCGGCAAGGAATGGGAAGATCAATGGGGCCTAATGGATGTCAACAGAAATCTGAAAGAGGGTGTCAAAATCCCGGACTGCGGGGGGAAAACGGTTTGAAGGCATGGCAGAAACACTGCTTTTCCCGATTCCTCAAGCAATTAGTATAGTTGACTTGGCAGTACGCTGTTATGTATTATACGAAGCAACGCCAGTTAAGGCGGGAGGTCATACAAAGGGTCATACGAAGTGCGGCAAGTCTCGGTCTCGGTCTCGGTCTTGGTCTCGGTATCGGTGCCAGTGTCGGCGTGGTGTTGTTCATGTTTCATGGCCTGCACTGATACATACGATTCTCGGCGCAGTGGTTTAAAAGAAGCAAGCATTAGAGAGCATCAATGAGGGGTATGAATAGGTGGGCGGCAAGGCGTTATTATCGTCGCGCACACGTATAACATTATCATAGGTTACAATTCTGTCTTTATGGTGTTTTGGAGGTTTGGGTTTAGTACCTTAGGTTAGGTACCTACCTACCTAGGTTACCTGGTATGTATTATAGACTAGGTCACTTATTTTGGGGGGGATGAGGTAAATGATCAATATGAGTAAAAAACGGGTTATAAACTGAGCTGAATTGCGGTTACATGTGAGCATGCATTTCCATTCCAACATGTTATTGCTACAGGGTGTTTGTTACGGGTCCCCCTTTAGTTGGGGTCCGTGTATAACCTAATGCTACCTACCTAGTACCTAGGTACCTGGGTAAATACCCATCAGTTACATCATAGAAATAATGACATCACATGATTTGGTGTTACTTTGGCGCTCTGTAGCTTATCTCCCTCCTTTTCATTATCATTAATTTTGTTATCAACCGCTAAAACTCGAACGAAGGCCGTTTTCCCATCCATTTCCCGCGCAAACTAATCTTTTTTTCTCTTTTTTTTGGGTCTACGGGGAGGATCCTATACAAGATTTCAGATGGGCACACAATATAAATTCAACTCCTCGAATGGTGATCATACTTCGAGGAAACGCAAAGCTCCCGCTCGCATGTAAACGACCTATGACCATTGCGATGATCAAAACCATGACCATGAGCCTGAGGATGATGCAAAACCCAAGAAGTCGAAAAAGAAAGCCTCCGGAGGGGAGAAACGCTTGAGGAGGTTAGCCATAGCAAATATATACCTACCTACCTAAGGTATCTAAGACAGTTAACTAATAATGGACCTATATATAGATTCCGTGATAAACCTCCAAAAGATTTCTCCGTCATTTATGACCGACCAACATCGCAAAGGTTCGCATCTATACATTTTTGATCAATAATTCAATCCACGTGGAGGAGTTGTAAGCGCATAAGTGAGCAGAACTAATCCTATCGACTCAGATTCTACATCCTTGAGAGGACACGATCTGGCACAGCTTATTGCCCCGAAGAGTCTGTCGAGTTAACCGGCTCTACCGGAAATATTTACTTCGTCCATGTCGCGTAGCAGCCTACCTGCACCTGTCCTCACGCCCAAAGCGGCCACCAATGCAAGCATGTCATATACGTTAGTCTCCTAACATACAGATATCCATACGGGTTAAATATCTCTCATCTGCCCTGACACCTATTTCTGCTAGGTACTATCAAGAGTTCTTCGTGCGCGCTTCGACCTCGTTTATCAACTTGCCCTGCTGTCTACCAAACTGCAGGAAATCTTCGGGAACGCCCCTCCTATCGAGCCAGAACACCAACCCGGTGCAGAAACGTATGATAAGAACCGAAAACCCCTTGAAGGCGACTGCCCGATTTGCTTCATGCCCTTTGAAGGTGCCGAAGATACCGTTTATTGCCGTGCGACTTGCGGCCAGAATATACATACGGAATGCTTCGAGATGTGGGCTACTACCAAGCGCAAGAGTACCGGGGGTCAGGTTCCTCCTTGTCCTATGTGCCGTACGCCCTGGCAAGGCGACGATGACACTGTCAAGAAGGTTAAGAACAAGAGCACCATAGGCTCCGACGGTTACATAAATGTCGCTGACCAGCTCGGTATCAGCCGCGCAAGAGGTGAGCCGATTAGGCGACATATCTACCTAACCTAACCTATCCTATTTACCTACTTGGCATCCCTATCCACGTACATACATACAAGTTATACGAGCTAACCCCTGGCTGCAGACTACAGTACCTACTACAACGGACCGTATCGAAGTACAAGTTATAGAGGATGGTGAAATACGTGCCTACCGTTAGCTCTTCCTCGGTATGACTTCCACCGTTCAGTTGCTAGTCTGTTATGATATCCCTAGAAGCCCAGCGCATCGTGTGTCTTTGACTCCCAAGACGATTCTAGTTAGCTACCTAAGTATCGCTACGATGGCCAGCAATTTCCATCCCCTAGCAACTTATCCCGACAGATTAAGGGGCAGTCAAACCGGTCTGCTCCGCACTTTGCAGAACTGCAACCCAGAAGTCTTATGAGGAAAATCTACCTATCTATATAAATCCACCATACGTAATTCTCGTGCCCCTTCCGACCTTTGAGAAATCCATGTCGTAGGATCGGGACGAGTCAATAGGTAGCTGAGTCTTTTGGCTTTGGCGGGCCTCAAAAGGGTACAAAGGCCGGAGAGGTTTCTAGTGTCAGGAATAACCATCAGTGGTGCGTACGCTTGACAAGGAATTTTGCCCAATTCTTCCTCACGCGTTATATTCGGCACAAGCAGCCTTTATTACCTCTTGTTTTTGTTACCTCTTGTTACCTTAGGTTAGGTTACCTTACGTGATGGATCAAGTGTCAACCGGAGATTCATTTGTCTCATTATTCATTTCGTATCGTACACTTTCTCTCCTGCCATGCAATTACAGTAAGTAGCTCCGAGCAAATATGTAAACTAAAGTACAATCTGTAGACTAGCCACTTCACATACATGCTTGCTGCCAATATCTAGCAGTTAGTCACAGAAATTAGCGATTCCTACCCACGCCATCAGACCGTACCAATCTCGCATCTTGAAAATCTCCATAACTTCACTCCACCGATAGAATCAACTAGAGAACTAAAGATTAATCAAGTCTCCTTCTTTAGTGCCACCACTACCAGATCCCACAACAGCATCATCTTTCACGTTCTCTCTGGTTATTCTTGCAACAGGGCTTGCCTTTCCATGAGGGGTTGATTTCCATTTCGGCTTGTCAGCCTGGCGTTCTTCAGGGAGACTCATAATGCGAGAGGGCCGCGAACTTCCCCGAGAATACAGATGCGAACCGAAGGTGGCCTCTCCCGCGTGCAACCGCGGAGTTGTTACATCCATGTTCTGTTGCTGGAGGATAGTGGGACTAGCGAGCGTCTTTGAGTGTTCGGCTGCTGTGATTCTATCGAACGTATTCGCCCGCATATCATCGTTACCGATATCCAACGAACGGGTGCTAGGAAGAATTTTTGCATAGTCGTCGGAAGTAAGGAGATCATCGCTACCCTTCTTTGGGGACGGTGAAGTCCTAGCAATGACACTCTTTCCGACGTTGCGTAACCCTTGATTGTCTAAGGTTACCGGTCTATAAGTGTCTTGAATCGAAATTGCGTTGAGTGGGCTTGAGGACCCCGCGATAGTCTCTCTGCATCTCTTTTCGTCGTCCATATTTGCATCAAAGTCGGACCATCGATATCCTTTCGTATCCGACAAGAGCGGTAAAGCGGCTTCAGTAAACTCTGTCCCGAGAGCCTTACCCTGCCCGCCGTGATATCCAAGCCCAGGTCTGGAATCATGGCCACGTCGACCACCTCGGCCGAACCCTTTTTTATTACCTCTGCCGCTCATCGCTGCACCCATTCGGCGTTGGTCTTGACTTATGAATGGCGCCACATGGGCTCTGTTGTAACCTATGATAGGCTCCTCAACATTGAGGGTCTCGTTTTCGGGTAGGAACTCATCGTGAGGATACGCTCCGGTAAATTCGGCGCAAGTACAGTAACATTTTTCGCCGCAGATCTGTTGACACCGGTGACCGCATAGGAGGATTCGTTCGCACGGCTGGGGACAGATCAGCTTGTCATGGGTTGCCCTATCAAGACAGTTAGCCTTCAACTACGAACATCTGCAGCGATGAGAAGAAAGAAAAAAAGGTGAAGAGGAGACAAAAGATGGGAACACACCAATGGCATCTACGCCCGCATGCATGGCCACAATCAAGCTCATCCGGACACTTCAAATCGCATCCACCGTGGCAGTTAACCCAGTCTTCCGGGTGCGACATCCATACCGTCCTGTGATGCTTTTGACACGTTATCGGGAGACGACTGTTGCCTCCAAACCGACCCTGCTTCACGAAAACCTGCTGAACTTTTCCCCACATGTTATACGATAGCCGACTAGCTGATGATAGATTAATCATGTTTCCAAAGACGTAAAAGCCCCGGCGAGCTCGACTAATCGAGACTACGCCACGGTTCTCATCTTGGAGGAAACCTGCCTGATGAGGCCCGTCCTGACCCTTACTTCTCACCAAAGACAAAATCACTATGTCGTTTTCTTCTCCTTGGTACGAATCCACAGTGAAAACATTCGTAAACGGAGCCCATCGTTTCATTTGGCTCTTGAACTGGGATATGATCTTCTTCTTTTGACCTCTGTAAAACGTCAAAACGGTAATTTGACTCGCTGGCGTACCGTTCATGAGGAGATAGTCTATGAAGTGGATTATCATTTCCGCCTCTAAGATATTAAAGCTACTCAGGTTCTCGTCCTGGCCCTCCATCCAAGTATGGTGGAAAAAGAACGAGGGAACAGCCATACCAGGAATTGGTGGCCTAGAATGACTTTGAGTGACCACGGGATGATCTTGAAGGTCCGGATAGAATTCGTTCAATACCTCGCGCAACGCGGGAATCATTCTCCGCTGCATATTGAGGACCGTGAAGGGCATATTAAGATAAACAAGACGTTCAAACATAGATATCCGTATATTGTACGGCTCCTGTCCCAGGCCGGGTGTGTCGCAATGGGGAGCCAATTGTTGGTGGTCGCCAACTAGTATAAGCTGCTCTAGCGACCCGTACAACGCCGAAAGAATATTCGCCTCCCGCGTCTCAGCTGCCTCTTCGATTAGCATGGTGCGTGGCCGTAAGGCAGCTAGCAAGCCACGGTATTTGCACAGGCCCGTGGTAGTACATCCTATGACTTGGATTTGTTGCGATTTGATGCACTGCGTATCTTTGTACCAGCGGCTTACCTTGAGATTCTTCGTGATGCGGACATTATCGGCAAGTAAGTCGCAAAACTTTTGACGATGCCGCAACAACAGCTCCTTCTGCCAAAACTGATAGACCGCTCCGCGATGCTTAACATCTATGTCCCATAAATTCGGCTTCTGAAGATCTCGGCGGACCACAAGGTCATATTCCGTATAATTTTGCGAATTGGAACCTGTCCACAGGTGCATGGTCGGTAGGAACTTGCCATCTATGTGGCCAATGCTTTCGTCCTCGTCTTCAACGCAGTCGTCGAGTTCCATATCGTAATCTTCCAAGTCTGCGTCGAGACTATCATTATCCTCGAATGCTTCAAATTCGGGGTCTTTCTCTCCCGGCTGCCTCGCTTGCGCGAGTTGACTCCCCAGCCACTCCGCTAACAGGCCTGAAGGTTGATCTTGTGACAATGGTGTGTCGCCCCATTCTTGTTCGGCACGAAGGGATTCGAATTGACTGTCTGTTATCACACCTGTGGATCTTAGTACTTCTGGGTCAAGCAAATTGTCTGGGAAGACAACGTCGACGATCTTTTCCAACTCTGTGACATTCCTTTTGCGTGCCGACTCAAATGTCCTGTAGTCTCTATCTGCGCGTTGGCTCAGCTCGGCCCGCGCACGTTGCCTCAGGTTATACATGCTGTAGCGTTTGATTTCTTCATTTTGAGTTCTTCCGCCAAGCCGGACAACCTTGAAGCCAGCATCAATCAGTTGGATCAAAATTTGATCTACCGCATGGTTCGTTTGGGCTGCCACAATAATGGCGTTGCTGCCTCTCTTTTGACTTTCCAGGAGGATCCGTAGGGCCTGCACTGACGTAAATGTCTTTCCAGTCCCGGGAGGACCTTGGACAATAGCCAACTCCTTGGTAAGAATGCGATGTACGGCACTGAGCTGAGAGTTGTCCAAGTTGGTATACCGAGAAAGCTGGCTGTCAAATCCATCCAGGACGGAGTAATGCCTAAGTGGCTCACACACCTCGGCCGCCTTTGCGTGTCTCTCACTCTCTAGCATCGATGAGGATTCTGGGATGTGATGCACGAGAGACGTAACGTCGCGGTATGGATCGTCTTTAACATACTTTGCGCAGAGGTCGCTCTTGTCCCCCTGAACCAAGTACTTATCGAGCGGCGTCTCTGTAGTGGCGACGTGCTGTAAGCCAACCATGCTATGACGAACAGCTTCAAAATAACCCAAGCGCGTCTCTATCATAACAAGTTCTTGGTTTGGGTCCATAATAGCATCACTAATATTAGCCCATTGGAAGTAAATCGTGGGCGGGTTTTGGTCGAGACCGTCCCTGATGCGGTGTTCTGATATGACAGCAGGCATACAAATAGTCTTGAAACGATCTTTGGCAGTTGATATTGCAACTAAGGTTCCAACAGTGAGCCGTCGGGTTTGGGTCCAGCGTATCTTCTTGCCGGATCTCTCCGTCGAAAACTGGACTTGACACATGGGACCGAGGCGGGTCATGAGATAGCCCCTGACAAACACCTTTAGACGAATAAGTAGTTAGTTGACTGGAAGACTGGAATATCATTTTCCAGCAGGTTCGACTTACTTTTGTATAGATACATGTCTCTCCGTCGTCCATCATTGTCGGGTCATCCTTAAACTTTCTAATAGAGTGGCGGAGCATGGTGATTCCTTCCTCTCTCTGAAGGCGGTAGTGAGTCTCAAGGTAAGTATTCTTACTTTCCCATGGCTGCTGCCATGTGTTAGGTAAAAGATTTCGTATCTTATCCAGCTGCTCTTGGTCATCCCAGTCGGGGTTTAGATCTTGACTCGTAGGGAGCTCGGTGTAGCTTCTCCATTCTTGGGCTGGGGGGGAAGACGGGACGTTCTGCTCAAAGTAGATATGATGCTTGATGATCTCCAGCTCGTGCTGGGGTTATCGTAAGCATGTAAGTATAAACCATGAAACGGCGATGTCCCGAGCACATACCTGAGGATCAAGGCCATCAGAACCGTTGTGGTCAGCCATGGCTGATAGGTCAGTTGCTTTGCGAGGCACCACTCCTGCGATATTGTTCAATGCGATCGGGGCCTAAGTACTTGATGCTCCGCTGGCGAGAAAGAACTCAACGAAATACGTATGCGAAGGGGGAGAGCCTCAATGGTGCTCCAGGTTGGCAATAAACGTTGGAAGGAAAAGGAGAAAAAAAAGATGAACACAAGAGGAGAGAGTGTACGGGATTGGATCATACATAAGTTGAATTACCAACGTAAGATCCCATGTGGCTACTTTGTGATCTTGATGTTGTAGCCTTGAAAGTTGTTAGGTTAGTTGAGGGTAAGGTTGCTAGGTACGTAAAGTTAGGTAGGAGGTAGGTAAGGTTAGGCACCTGATGTTGATTTGAAAAGAAATGCAGCTTCATCAGGCAGTCGCCGTCCTACTAAATACCAGGTAAACAGGTAGGTATGTACTACAGGTAGGTACCTAACTAAAGTTAGGTATCTTAGGTTGGCTCTGTATCAAAAATCTCTTCTCAACTTTTAGATGGAGGTAAATCAGGAAGCTGCCTTAGGTAAGGTGTAGCTATATCTTACCTTATGTGCAAATATGGACATGTAGGCAGGTGCAGGTAGGAGTTACAAGGTATCTACATTTTTACGTAAGGTACCTCAGGTAATGTAATGTACCTACTCAGGTACATTAGGTACATTATTTACACGTCTCAGATAGTTCCAATTATTCATGTAGAAGGTGCTTACTCTAGGTTAGGTAGGTATCTCTATGTGTTAGCTGCTGAATAAGTCTTGTGAATACAGACGTCCACCTAGAAACGCATACTTAGGTACCTACCTCATAGGTAACTACCTACCTATTACCCCGTCGACTACCTAATGTAAATGGGAATGGCAGGAAGTTGTTGCTTGTCACTTACAATTCTACCACAGCTCCATTTACTGGGTACCTACATATCACCTGCATGCTTCAAAACATGCGGGTATACCTTGCAAACACGTCGGCATCCTATGTCAGTGTTTCCTCTTTGTTTAGGGGGTTAGCCTCTCATTTATGTGAAAACTCACCGTCATGTCTTAGAAACCATTAGAGAGAGCGTGTACTAAAAGACGATGGGTCTATTTTAAAATAAGTGTAAGTGTTTTGACCGACTTCTGCACATCCAACTACCTACCTACCTACCTAGGCACACATACAAACTCCCCTTTCCCTGTTTACAAGCAACTAAATAGTAGATAGCCTGCCTACGATCATACATGTACCTACATGATATACCGAGAACAACAAGGAGGTTTGCCCCAATGCCAATATATACCTAACCTTAGGTATCAAGACTACCTACCTTAAGTAGGTAGATGTCTAAGGATACGTAAGAGGTAATATATACGAGAGTTTCAAGATGGTTTATCGGTACTGTTGCTACGAGATACACTCTACGTTGAGGTTTCGTCAGTCATTACACATCGTAGTTCAAGGTCGCTATTCGTCGCAGAAAGACACGCCACCTTCGTTCTATGTTCGAATGCCAAGTTCGGGTAGTAAGTAGCTAGAGATCCAGATACATACCTGGGGTACGTGGTATCTACCTACCTTAGGGATATAAGATGCAAACTGCTGCCATCGTTCATCGCCAAGGGCGCCTTGCGTATTTTGGCCCGTCTTTTAAAGGTAAACCTCGATCAGTAATTGCTAGGTCTAGTTATATACCTTCTACCATTCGATTACACCATCGTCTCACCCCAGCTCGGTGGCCGATCTTCTAATTTGGTACCCCATTCGGATTCCTGACTTCCAAGTACTACTTCTATCGTCCACCCCTCGCTGAAAAGGGAATGACTGATCCAAGATCTAGTCCACGGCTTACCATTTACTGTTACGCTTTGTATGTAAATCTTTTCATAGTTGGAATCGAACCCGACCGTCTTGATCTGTGCCGTCTTGCCCGTTAAAGGACTTGTTATATTTACCTCCCGAAAGAATGGCGCCGAAATCAGGTACACATCTTGACCAGCTATGGGGAATAGACCTATCATCCCAAATACGACAAACGCCCCCATCGAGCCCGAGTCATCATTCCCTGGCAGGCCTCCGTGTGATGTGTTAAATGCCGATGGGATATACGTATGCAACCGTTTCGTAGATAATCCAGGACGACCAGCATAATGATACAGATATACCGTCGAAAAGACCGGTTCGTTAGAGATGTCAGCTAGTCCCGATGTGTGAAAGAAGTCGAGACGCTCAATGAACGATTCTTCAGTCCCCATTAGCCCTACCAAGACCGACATAGATTGCGGAACAAGGCTGTCGAGTTTCTTTAGTGATATAAGATGCTTAGTTTGGAATAGACCGCTCGCTTACAACTGATATTGCCAAATACTATCGCGTGCAAAGTTAGTAAGCATCGTGACAAGTTTTTTTTTTTAATGAAAGGGATAAGAAGGGAAATGAACAGCGACTAACCTGGCCTCGAAAGTCTCACTAGGATTGGTAGTGAGAGAGCAAAAACTCGCAAGCGCCGAGCACGCAATGGGATCTTGGTATCCCCAAGTCCCGTTCTGGTACTTTGGCTGCATGAAGCCTGCAAATCCGGTGTCATTTCCCTCGATAGTCGAACGCTGATCTGACTTCCACAGGTACTGCCAGTTAGCACCCCGCGAAACATATTTATCGTATAGATTATCTCTCCCGAGTCCTTGCGCTAGGGTAGCGAGGCAATAATCATTATAGGCATACTCAAGGGTTCTTGAAATGCTACGCGAATTAGTACCAAATCCGACTGGGTCGAAATCAAGGTAAGGAATATATTGGAGATCCTTCCAGCTTTGTAGACCACCCCGACCATGATACGCCCATTCCAACGGTTCCACTTCGGCGTCTTGGATGATAGCTTCGAGTGCGAGTTCCCAGTTGATACCGGTGAGGTTTTTGACGTAAGCATCGACTAGTACGACATCTGCATTTGAGCCGCCCTATACGAAGTAGTAAGTAGTAAGTATGGCTGTCGTGAAGAAGTACAGCGGAAAAGGAACCAAAACAAGTATCGTCACAGTGAATGTTGAGGTCATTAAATGAATTTCGATCCCCTTACCTGGGTCCAGCCGTGACTGAGTGACCTGGATACGTAGGATATTAGCTTAAGCGGGAAAAGGTATATGTACCTAAGTTAATAAGGCCCTCACATATGACAGTCTGGTAGCCAACCTTCGTGCTCGTAGATATCTAATAGCGAGTTGACCATCTGGATTTGAGCGTGCGGGTCGAGAATAGTAAGGAGTGGATGTTGAACGCGGAACGAATCCCAAATGCAATAGTACGAGTCAAAATACGGTATCCCGCTGTTCCAAAACGGATTTTCGTCGGTGTAGTTCTGAGGAGATATCATGGTGCGATACAAACCGCTCCAAAAACTAGTTTGAAGCTCATCGCTGGCACCACCAGCGTCGACAGATATGGGGTTCAGCTTCTCGCGCCACGCATCTTCCGCCTCTGCAACGAGTCTGTCAAAGTCGCTAAGAGGATTGGGAATTTCTTCGGCCGCCCGCCGGCAAGCCTGGTCAGCACTCACGAAACTTATTCCCACCCTGACGGTTAAAGTATTGTTAGGTAGCTGGCTGAATCTAACCCACCCACCAGCTTCTAGATAAAAGAGGTTGAAACCACGGGTGACGAAAAGCTCTTTCGGGTCCGTTCCTGCTCGATTATTCACCCACACTCCGTTGTCGAAGATATCGCCGCCGAAGAAGTCGACGCAGAAGTGCATCACGTACGAACCAGGTCCAAAACTGGGAAGAAACGTGCCATTTCCCTTTAGCCGCCCACTTTCGAGGCCAACACTAATTGAAGCATTTTGACGACTCTTCCATAGGTCCGTTAGGTCAAGTAGTACTAGAGGATGTTGCTGGTCGTTTTTGACCGGAAATTCAAACGTATACAACGCCGCGTGGTCGCTCGAGGTCATAGTGCTCTTGATGCCGGAGTCTAATTCTACTGCAAAGTAGCCTGGTCGGGCGACTACCGAATCCTCCACGTAGCGAGTGGCTCTTTCGCCTATGAGGAAATTGCAGGTATTGACGTCGTCCCCAGGGCATATCTGGGGAAATAAGGGGAAGTTCCCCAGACTAGGATTCCCCCCCGTCCCGCTGTCATGTGTTGCCGAGAAACCTGTGATCCTTGAGCCGTCTATCGCGAAACCTCCCGTATTCTGACCGTCCACATCCGCGACAGGCTTTGCTAAAGCATATGGTCCTGGAATATTTACACTAAGTAAATGCACATTATGAGACAAGGAAAATCAGCATACTTGTAGCACCCGCAAATACGTTTCCCCCGTTAGTGCTCCCGATGAGAGGGTCGATGAATTGGAGCACGTCGACACAAAACACCGAAAGGGGAAATATTGTAGAGATGAGGTAAATCAGTTGCGGGGTCACGAAAAGCAGCCGTGGGCGTGGCATCTTCGATTAGCGAGGGCTCCTTTCATAAGACTATGATTATAGATTGTAAATTTTAGCAACTTAGTTCCAGCAAGTAAAAAAAACATTGATGCACGAGTAAAATCGAAAACGAACGTGCCTGCCTGAGATACTGAGATAGCGGTCATGTTTAACCCCCTCCCTGGATAGGTGGCGCTTTGCGACCTTCCCGAAAGAGGCGATCTCAACGACAAACAAAGGTAAACCGAAAGGGCAATGCGTTGATCTTCATGAATGTGGAATAGTCTGATATTTCGTTCAACGTACCGGGCATTTTTTATTACCGTGAAGTTGCATGTAACTACCTACCTCTATTAGAATGCTAGTAGTCAATGGGATTGGAGGCATAAAACATATAGGTAGGTAGGTAGTTTTCGAAATGCACTTGAGCTCATATCTTAAAGAGTATTATTTATTTCCTAGTAACATGGCGCTCCAATCAACGTTTAGCCGGACAACAGGTCCAACTCACCCATTCCACGGCTATATCTATAGAAACTATTATATCCATTGCTTTAACTGTGGATTATTGCTGTTTGAGGTGTTAGAATTGGTCGTTGAAGGGGCAAATGTGTTATCAAAGTAACGACTTACAGGGAACTAACCCTAGATATTTTTTTTCAAGATCACTATATGTACCTAAGTTAACTTTGCATTGACAATGCAATCAATCTCCTAGGGGTTTCGGAGAAAAGCCAGCGCCGGGTTACCATTTCTTACCAATACCAAAAAAAAAAAAAAAAAAAATTATAAGAACGACGAGCAGAAAGCCTACACTCATCTGCAGTGAGCCGTTAAACTCATGCTCTCTACCTGGTATGATCACTTGCAAATTTGACGTTGAGCCAAACTCTGCGCCGACCAACGTCAACACGTCATTATAACTTGATGGAGGGGAAGAAAATCCGTATCTGATGTCACTGCTTAAAAACTTACCCCTACAATAGATTTTTAAGGGACGAGTGCGGATAGATATAGTTTTCCATTACAGCGCAGCGACATGGGACGATGACCCCTCATTAGCAATTCCCACTCGTCTATCCATGAAACCCTCAGCTGTTATCGTCGTCGGATATCGATGGGTAGCCTAAATTAACCTTATTCTTTCGAACCCTTAAAAATGACCCTAGGTACCTAGGTACCTAAGGGTTTGGCGTATATGCTTCCCTATCCCGGACTGCGACTTTGGTGATGACGAATTGACTGAGGTGCAGGATGCAGAGGCATCTGCTATGCCAAGTAGGTGGACAAGCAAACGATTAAAGGTTTTTCTTTTTTCCAATAATTATATGACGTATATACCACCTTTTTCATGGCTTGTCCCCCCGATATTGATGATACGAAACTGAATTACGATTTCGCAACGTAACCATCACGGCATCGATGACTTATCCATTCGCAACGAGCATCCTAGATGCTACCACAATGCCCTACGAAACGGTCGTCATAACTTCTTTACAGCCGCCTGACCTTTTCAAATTCGATTATGACGCTAAGAACCAAGAGACGTGTGGCTAGATTGACCGAGAGATGCTTGAACTCGTCATGACAGTTCAGTAAGCGCGTACCTATACCATACGACCTCGATACTTATAAACCCCTCTACGCATTTGCTTTGTGAATGTCTGGACTTGCTGGGATTACTTACTTTGTATGTCAGATGCAGCAAAAATAAAAAAGAATAACAACCATGACACACTTCGTCAGTTTGGCAAGCGTCGGTGTCTTAGCACTCGTAGTGCCACATTCTCTTGCAATTCCCTTCGTCTCCGAAGCTGAAACCACGGTGAGCTCAGATGCGGCGACGACAGCTCCTGTAGTGGCTGTGACAAATGTGACTTCTCATGGTGCATACACGGGCCCGCCGGCTACGACAACCGGCGCGCTCTCTACAGAGGCCACAGCCCTGACTATCCCGGCCAGGCCGCCGGAGCAGTACAAGCTGCAGTACCCAGCGGACGGACAGCTTCACCAACCGCAGCCCGCACCATACACTCCAGGCGGCGGTTTGGGTACTAACGGCACCGAGCCAGTGTATCGTGTAGTGAGCGACTTCGACTACGAATCGGTTGCATTAGCTCTCTACCAAGAGTGGATCGAGCTCGACCTCTTTCACTGGGGATTAGCCAGGTTCTCCGCCGAAGAATTCGAAGCTGCCGGGTTGAACGCCGAGGACAGGTTTCTCATACAGTTTATGGCTAATCAAGAAGTCGGCCATGCCACCGCCCTAACCAATATGCTCGGCCGTAACGCCCCCGTTCAGTGCACTTACAACTATCCGGTAACAAACGTCCGAGAATTTATCGACTTCAACCAGAAACTGACTCGGTGGGGAGAGTCAGGCGTATATGGATTCCTAAATCACTTAGATTCGCGCGAAACGGCACAGATTCTTCTGCAGTCCATCACTACCGAGGCGCGACAGCAGCTCATCTTTCGCCAGTTCGAAGGCCTTTTTCCTATGCCCATATGGTTCGAGGTAGGCATCCCTCAGTCGTGGGCGTGGACTCTTCTCGCTCCGTACATCTCTTCATGCCCGGCCAACCAGACTCGCCTGATCTGGCAGAATTTCCCTTCGCTTAGAGTCCTTAACCAGCCGAATCCAGCTCGCATTAACGGCTCCGACGTCTGGAACGAGACAACAGGCGGATACGCAAATACTCTCAGTACTGGAAATATCTCAGAGTCGGAGAGTTGTTTAAATGCCAGCACCGGTGGGAATTGCAATCCGGCTATCACCCATAACCGGACTGCCCCCTTGTCATATCCTGGCCGTCAAGTTTTCCTCGAGTGGGACAGTCCTGGAAATCCCGTCGGGCCTAATAACAGCTACGTCACCAGCGTGTCTGCAGGGTCTCCTAGATATGCCGCATGGGTGTCTCAGCTCAATGTTACTTATACCCCTTTGCAGAATGTAAGCGACAACACGGCGTATACCATCCAGCCCAATACGTCGACATATGAAGGCGATCCTGCAGTTAACGGTACCATCTTCTTGGCTATAACCGACGAAGACTTATTCGTCACCCCATTCAACCTTACGCAGATTAACCCGCATGTCAACGCGTTAGCTATTTACCAGGCAGGTTAAGAGAATAATCCTTCATAATCCATGTCTCGACAATAATCTGCGCATGTAGAACCGAGTACCTGGCGCTAATGGACCATGTATAATGGGGATAGCGACGAGAAAACGAAAGTTTCAACACCAATGTAGCAGAGGCACACCTTGTGCTCATACGACTAGCCCGATCATATGATAGCCACAATATATCAAAAACCAATCGTACGAAACTTTTTAAACGTGACGATGATCGTGCTTTGATTGTAATGTCTTGATACCATCATATCGAACTGGCTCTGGAGAGAATGACAATGATAGAAGCATGTTGAAGTTTATCTGCTATTCTAGCATTTCTCTAAAGTCTAGTTGCCGCGTAATGACATTGAGCCGACCACTATTCCTGTAGCCTAACAATGGCCCTCAATATATAGAGTTCTATTACTCTCGTGACAGGTGCCGTTACTCCGTTTCTCCATTTCCAAATCAAATGCTGGGTATCACCTTTTCCAAACGAGCCACCAAACAAAGAAAAAAACCCCCGGATACGACCAAGCTGTGCGCATCGCAGACATATATGAGACCTGTTATCACGTCGGGACGTTTATCTCGTATCCAATAAGAACTTCGGTAGTTGTCCCTTCCCAGCCTCGATTTCCCGCGGCTGATATCATGAAGCGGCTGGACGGATCGATGTATAGGCTGGATATGACACCAGCGCGAGGTGGGCCGGGAATAATTAGAAAGGGCGGCGGCGAGTGCTTAGATGAGTTTTCAGATCGGAGATCATAAAGCCGAAGGATGTCGTGAGAGGCGCAAACTAGATGCCGTCCGTTTACCATTGATCGAACGCAGCTGACTGGACCACTTCCACCAGGAAACTTGAAGACTCGTTCCGGTTGCCAACCTACGCGACCGCCTTTCGCTTTCTGTATGCTAAATTCCTCCACCGTTCCATTTCTACGGCCTGCGTATATCCAATTGCCATCCGGACTCCAACACGCGCCCATACACCAAGGAGGAACCCCAGGCCGATTTCCAATACGCGCCACGGGATTCTGCATCCGACGATCCCAAACGCGCAAGGTCCCATCGATAGATGCGGAAAGAAAGGTGCTATCCGAAGTCTGTGTCATATCGTAATGCGTCGGCGGCGGTGCGGCAAAGACGGTAGAAGGTGATTGGGGTGGTACTCCTTGGTTTCCCTGAGCAGACGGCAAAGGTGCATCTCCTGGCAAGGACTGAAATGTGTTGCCGTTAGTGTTAATCGGCTGCGAAAATTCCGGTATGGAGGGTAGAGACGAAGGGTCGTGGTTTGCATCGGTCCCGAAAGAACCAAGCGCGCTATCGCCAAAGAGAGCATTGTCTGAGGAGGTCGAGTCAGGCAGAGGCTGAGTAGCCGGAACTTGGCCCGACCCTGATTCAAAGGCTGTGCCGGACATGTTATAGTCGCCCATTGCGACCTCGGCATCTTGGGCCGAATCCTGCATCATGGCTCGGGAAAACTCATTATCCTCATCCCCGCCGAAAGCGCCCATCCCGTCGTTGTCACTGAAGAGATCCGAGCCGCCGGTAGGGCTACCACCAAATAGGCTATCATGTCCAGGACTCCCCCGACTGTCGGGTATGACATCTCTCCCATTAGCCGTCTGGTCGGAAACCCCATTAACCCCCATACCATTTACGCCACTGTCGATATCCATACCAAACCCGCCATCCATCTCAAATTTCAAGTCGCCGTCAGCACCAGGATGCGCGTTATTGCTAAAGAACGTATCGCTTATAATCTCCTCTTCGCTAGCTTCCGGGGGTATAGGTTGCCCTCCCATGGGCCTGATCTCGATGGCAGAAATTTGTCCCCCACTCCCGTCAAACTGCCGCGCTACTTGCCCCGTGTTTAAGTCCCAGTCAAATATATTCTTGTCCCAGCTTCCACTCAGGACGCTCTTCTCATCAGGAGAAAGGGTCAAGACGCTGACGGCGTTGGTATGCTTCTTCAGACACGTAATCCGCTTTCCCTCATCATGGCGCACGCTCTGAAGATTGATACCGCCGCTCTCGAGGCCGGACAGGAGCCATAGGGCCTGCGAGTGAACAGCCAGACTGTAAACGGGGCTGAGAACCAAGTCTTCCTGTCGAACAGAAGGGGGCTGGGGTTCGGCATTTTCCCAATACGACATTAACACACCAGCTTTGGTTACCGAGTCGACGAACGGATGGCGCTGCGCTACGGTCAAAAGAGTCTTACCGTTGATCGTGGCGGGCCCGTCGTATTTTCTAATGTATCCATCACTTCCGCCCGTCATCCAGTAGCGAAGATCAGGAGTTATAGCCATGGCATTGATACTCGTGGCCATAGGAGCTGCCATGGTTGGGACGATATCGTACGTAGCCGCGGTGAGCATTTCCGGGCGAACCTTGGGTTTCCATTTCGGGGTTGCGAGAGGACCTGGGGTAGCCGAGGTCCGGGTTACAGAAGGGTTGCTCAAGCCATTTGGCCGTCGATGATCGTGAGCATCTTCATCATCGTCATGTTCATGTTCGTGTTCGGGTTCAGGTTGATCAGGATCGTCGTCGTCTTCTTCATCATCCTCTTCGTGGTCTTGATTGTCATTTTCGTTCTCATCCTCGCCATCCACGTCCACGTCCGCATCCGCATCCGCATCTGCATCCGGATCGCCATCGGCATCGTGGATCATAATATCGTCGTCATGTTCGTTATCAGAGCTGGCATTAGAATCTCGGTCAAAGTCGTCCATGGCTGAATAATGCTATTGATCACTACAATGATCAATTCTTACCGAGCCAAGGGATATTCTACGGTCTCGTTCGGAATTCTCTAAAAGTTGTTAAGGAAATGTTTATACGGGAACATAGGAAAGACGAAAAGATGATAACGTATTATTAGAGGGACCACTAGACGCTAGACGCTTAGGCGCTTGGGCGCTCTAGCAATGTTATTTGCACACTACCTACATTACGGTTTACATTACGGTTTACATAGTACGACAAAGCGCGACATTGGAGAATCCCTGCAGGTGCATTACCGATTGAAGAGACCTAAAGGGAACCCAAAATGGTTCAAGTATTGGACCTTAGGTACCTCTTAGTAGGTAGCAGCTAGCTGCTTAGGGGGTACCTGCATAGACCCACCAAAGTGCCGCTCATTGTATTGTACAGTGCCCAAGTACCCAAGTACCTAACTCCGTGGCTGATCCGGCAGTCTGGCGCTTACCTACCTTCGATTACCTCTACCTTTCTAACCCGAGAATTACTCTCTGTACGCAGAAACAGGAATTAATCTTCAATAATAATAATTCATTTCTTAATTATACAAAATCTCCAAAGTCTACATAACATGGAATCATGTAAAAAAAGCACCTTAAACCTCTCGGGGAACTACCTAAACTTCAATATCCAGTATACATAAGATCAGTAATAAACAAAACCTCCTATAATTCTCACAAAGCCCCTCCTTATACACCCTTATACACTTCCTTTATCCCCCATGTCCCGGCGATCCTCTAACAAACGACTACGCGCCTCATCGTCCTCTTCTTCGTCCCCGTCCTCCTCCTCCACCACCACCACCTCCTCGTCTCCTCCGGTTGAATTGATCACTTGCATCCGGCGTGAAGAGTCTCGCAGGCTGAGGTGCTGGGGCTGGAGCTGGGACTGGAATAGGTATTCTAGATCCTGTACTCGAAGTTGTGGGAGGAGCAGGTCTATGACTAAGAAGCTGGGAAGGCGGCGGGAAGACCGGATTAGCCCTCCCCAGATCGTAGGCCTGATAGCTACCCTGCGCTATCGAATACGACGGTGCTATCGCCTGTTGATTAGGTACCGGTGGATCATCGTCGACTCCCCTTCTTGTAGGAGGCTGTTCCTCCACATCGTCGGTGTCATCTCTCGGGTGCTTCCTACCATCATCCAAGTTGACTACGACTGAATCCCCACCTGAGGGCGGTGTCATCGTTTTAGCCGCATCCACATTCCCAGTTCCCTCTCTAACCTGGTCGACTACTTCCACCGCGATACGTCCTTTATAGCCCATCTCTTGGATAGCAGAATAAGCATTAAGGCCAATCATTTCCCATCGTGTAAAGTCGGGATTGAACCAGCCTCTCAGGTCTATCCAGAGTTTGTCCGTATATCGATAGACATCACCCTTTACCAGGCTAGCTATCCGGTTCATCATAATCTTAGCCGCCCAAAATGTTCGGAGACCGCAACTCCAAATGTCCGGCTGATTGCCGGTTCCTATGTCGCGACGGTAGTCCGTAGCAAATGTAAATCCATTTTGTTTGAAGAACTTTTGAGCCCGGGCTTCGACAAATAGCCTCTGCGGACCCCTCGTTGTACCTTCCCATGAATCGATAATCGCAAACTGGACGATTCTTGTCCATGGGTAATCACCGGTTGTGGCTTTCTCTTTGCGGATAACGCCCAACTCCCAATGGTTACCATGGACGTTCATCGGCCACAGAGTGTACTCGGTTGTTTTGAAGCTTCGGTAGAATCTTCTATAATTTTTCCCCATTGCACGGTTGAATACCACGTCGCTTTCGTCAAACCAGTCGCCGAGGCTCGTGTCTACAATATGGATCATTTCTCTTGCCATCTTCGGCAAGGCGTCGCGGTACACTTTCAGCGATCTATCGATCGCATCACCGACCAGCCATTCCTCGCGACCAGCCTGGAGCTCGCTGAGACCTCTTATATCTGGTAAACCTCTGGGCAGAGTAGGAAGTTTCGATCCAGGTAATTCTATATGCCTATTCCTACATTGCCCCGTGTCTGTTCCTTGAGTTCCGCACAGTATCTGTGCCGGTGTAACGCCGTTCACCATTTTTCACTCTTTCCTTCAGGTATGCAACAAAGAATATCGGTTGTTAATGAGCCACAGACCCAATTGTCGTATTTATGGGTACGTATGTACGTATGTTTGTAGAGGGCGACTATGAGATGAAGGTGAAATCAAGTCCAGTATATTACACTTCTAAGACTATGTGGAGATGGCATATTGGTTGGCTGCTGTTGAAGCTATTAAGATGCTCGTACGAATCTTCTAACAAAGATGGCCATGAGCGCCCCGAATAACATAGACTCTCAAAATATTCATCTTTGTGCTCCGCCGAATCCGACAGTCCATGGACACAATGGAGTAAAAGCTGAATAGGGGGTTCATAATTCGGTTTCGGCCGGGGTATGACACCCCTTTGTCTATCAGAACGAGTACGGAGGAAACAAGGAATTATGTTTGAAGGACGGGAATCTAACTTAGCTGTCTACGTAAACTAACTAGAACCTCTTGGAATTTCAGCCCGTTGTATGAATGAAGCTTCTAAGCGTCTTATATTGGCGGAGACTCATAAGAGGCACCTGAACTCGGTTGTTAGGTGCCTATTGTACGTACCTATCTAGTATATCTATCAAAAAGTCCTTATTTGCCTAATGTAACGATTATTTTACGCGTTTAAATCCATCTTCCTTTGTTTATGGACTGGGCTATCACCGAGAGCTGTTTCCCTTCTCCACTTATAATAATTACCTATTCCGTCAATATGTAAAGCAAACTTAAGTATTGTTAATACCATACAACTTTACTATTGTGTAGTAATATGAATAGGTCCTAGGTTGTAGTGAACGATGTCTTTGTCCTTATGAGATCGTAAGAAAGTTAGACTGCTCCTGGCATGATATCTTCTCCATGGGACTCATATACAAATGCCAATTACCAAGCAGGTTAAGCGTCAGTACCGAAGTTGAATAGACAAGCATTCAGCAATCTATGTACCTGCCTACCTAAAGGTTGATACTGCTAGAAGCGAACACGCCGATATAGTATGTACCTACCTACCTAAGATTAGTTGATTCGCCACAAAGTGAAGTATTAGTCCTTTACTCCTTGGTTTATAAACAAACATACATATTTAGTGCAAATAGATGGTTAGGATAATGCAATACCAACAGGGGCGTTGAGGCTGCTAATTCAGCTATTCTGGAAATATTCATACTAGCTGGGTAAACTAAACTGTTCAGGATACAGTTCCAACGCATAAGCTTAATTATATAGGAGGTAGCTATAGTAATAGGTAAGACTCTCGCACAAGTAACAATTACGTATACCAAGTACCTAATGGCTGACAAGTTTAAATTACTCAGCCACAAGGGGCAAGGTGCGTAACTAATTCGGGTTATAGGCAAAGTCTGGGCATACCAGGTAGGTTAGGTAGGAGGTACCTAACGAGTTCCAACACGGGCATAGAACTAAGTTACTTGGCTACCAACTTAAGTACCAACTACCAAAATTCAAAATCCAAAATCCAAAATCCAAAATCCAAATTCTTACATGTTTCTGAACGAACAAGCATGTGTCTAACAAAACTGTCGTGGCCCGGTTCTTGTTCACCGGCGTAATCGTAAATTCTCTTACCTATAACGTAACCTAAACGTGTGGCGGGGACTTTTGGACACTCTGAGAGAGAGATAGCGGCTTTCAGATGCTTGCTACCGCCCCGAACCGCGGCATCGTGTCGTTCTTCTTGAGCTTCCTGCTCTGCTATGTGGTAATCGCCCTCTACTTGCGATCCAAATGCTATCGCGACCCATCTTCCTTGTTCTTTAGACCCGAATCTGCCCGCGTCCTGACGTATTCTTCCTTTCGCAAAGCGCAAGCTCGGAAGTATGCAGATCTTGCTGCACTGCATACACCGACAAAATGGGCCGTCAACTCCACCGCTCCCGAGTTTTGTATCGGCGTTAGCTCGGTGAGCCGGCATGGTTTCTCCTATCTAAAAGAAACTCTCGGGTCGGTGCTAGAAGGCTTAGATGAACTTGAACGTCAACGGATTTACCTCGTTGTTTTCCTAGCCCACACCGACCAGTCCCAGCACGAAGATTTTAATCAACCCTGGTTGCTCAACATAGCTGACGATCTTCCGACGTATCCAGACGACCCAGAAACCCTCGAACTCGTACGCCAACTTGAGACGAAGGGCGACTACGAAGCTCACGCCCGAAAGCAAAAGATTGATTACACAGTCTTGTTAAGCGAGTGCGCCAGAGTCGATGCTAAATACACTATGACCTTAGAGGACGACGTGATCGCTTTGGATGGTTGGTATCACCGAGCTCTCGGCGCTTTGCATACTGCTGCGAGAAAAACGCGGGAGCTCGGACGAGATAGTTGTAGGTGCTTTACATCTTGTTCCTCTTTTTTATATTCATTTTATTTGATTTCATTTTTATATTTTTGATTTCAATTCGTCTATCTTCTCGTTATAACTCGTTATAACCTCCATGTCAACTATTGCTGATCCTTACCATTTGCGCAGTCCTTTACCTGCGTATCTTTTACGACGGTCGGCTCCTCGGCTGGAATAGCGAGGAATGGCCATTATACGTCGAGTTAAGCATGTCGATACTCATTATCGAAATCTTCATTCTGATGAGTCTTCGCTGGCGTATCGCCACGATGCGTAAAACTCTGACCCTTCCGGTCCTAATGCTGCTCTGCGGGGTCTGCACTCCTATGCTGATCGGCCTGTTCTTCGCAGCTGGTCGCAATTGCATGCTGCCAAAAAGCCCCGGGGTTCACCTTATGCATAAGTACGGCTGTTGCGCGCAAGGGCTCATATATCCCCAGTATCAAGTACTCAATCACTTGCTTCCTTTATACCGGGGGACTCACGATACCCACGCCGCCGTCGACACGTTCCTCGAGGATTGGGCTAACAATCACGACAGTCTGCGTTGGGCGGTCACCCCTGTCCTGATTCAGCATGTCGGAGGCAAAAGTTCTCATGGCGCCGGCGACCAGGAACTGGGCTCGCTTACCGACGACATGCCGTTTGATTATTCATTTGAAATGAACGACCCGATTAAGCTCGCTAAAGAGCATCAGACATGGCTTGCGGAGATGTCGATACGAGAAGCCACAGCTGATCCTAAAATGGCTCTGCTGAATCCATAACTCGATTCGTTACCCCCTGGGTAAATGGGTATCTACATGGGTAGGAAATTATAATCAAATATCCTTATGAGAGTATTCCACCACGCTTTGGCGTATTCAATATCATACAAAAGAGAGGAGGGGTCCATTGTTTTCCTTGGAGTAGGGCACCATTACTCGCGACGTAATTCTGCGTGTCTCGGGGTCTAACGGATAAAGAAATCTTAGAAATGTTTGCCAATGATGCTACCTACCTTAGGTAGTCACATAGTTATGAAAACGAATCATGCTATGCGAAATGTAAATGGGGAATGCTATAGAGTCGTGTCTACAGAACAGTCAGCTCTAATAGTATTTGCAGAGCAGACGTTGCTAGGTAATTGGAGAAATATTATGTTCGAGTGCGATTCCTAAGGAGACCCGTTGTACTCACCTGATATGATTGTCGTTGACAGTGCTTGAAGGTTGATGCTGAAGCCCTTTGAATAGACCATGATTCCAAACGCGAGTCCAGTTTGGGTTTTGGTTCCCAGACAAAGGTGACATGCCTACCTAAATATCTGAATCTTGGAGAACTTGCGATATGATGTACGGCTCACGGCTCACGTCTCACGTCTCATCACATCGTCTCCAGTGGATTGCGGTACTCGAGAAGGTGGTGTATCCTGCGTCATCGGGAAATTTGACCTTCTCGCACTTTTCATTCAACTCATCTAACTCAACCCAATTCAAACGATCTGAACCGTAGCATCTATCGAAGGTCAGCCGGGATACTGCCACCGAATTCAATAGATAAAAAAAATCCCCTCTGAACTAATAGGACAGGGAGCACTGATGCTTACTCTTCCCAAACCTCTCGGGGAGTCCCAATGAACATGGCAGGAATGCACTTGGCAATGGCTTGTGCATAAATGTCCCTGTATAGGTGGATGCCAAAAACCAGTGTTGACGGGCTGACCTGCTCGAACCCTATAGGCGAATCAACAACTTCGTGGCCTAAAGCGCGGATGAAGCCCTTATCCGACGCGTTGAAAGCGGGTTCCTGGAAGACGCAGCGAATCCTACGCGAACTGCCGCGCTGGAATTGGTCAACGATGGAAAGAAAAGCAGCTAGTTGTATATGCGCTTTCCGCTTGATTTCCCATGAGCCGTCTTCGGGGTCAAAGGACCCTGTGCCAAAGCAGATAGCGTCGGAGATATCGAGATGCGCTATGCGCGGTTCAAAAATTTCGTGGAGTTTATGGCGGCATGCCGAAGACTCCCATTGATGTGTGATACGCTTGTGCTCTTCCATAATGTCGCAAGCAGATAAGGAAGACGACCGCGTTGAGTTACTAACGGTTCCAGCAATCTCCGAATAGGTGTCATGATGAGGTGACTTCCCGCGACGTCGTCCCTTGCGATGGACCCGAGTCCATTCCTTTTCAGGCCGGGCCTTTTGTTGATGGTTATTCGCCGATGCTGAGGCCATGAAATGAGGATAATTTAAAAGGTTTGCACATTTGCGTATGAAACTGTACCTAGATTGCGCTGTACCTAGACTTAACAAGATTGTGACTCTCATAAACAACTCACGAAGAAGTAGAGTGTTGCTATTTCAGTAGTAGTCATTTTCAGCGCCGATTTTCTTACCGCTTTTAAAAAACCGGCAAAAAGGCTAGAAATTCCCCCACCTATTTTGGATTAATTTAATTATATTACCACATTAACCATTATGTCGTATTGAATCTAACGATCTAATATATAAGAATTATACCATTGGCTTAACGTTTATTAAAGCTTTTTAATAATATAAATTTTAATTTAATGTATATAGTATTTAAAAAGTTACTAAAGTGCGAAAGTAGCTTAAGTACCTCGTATAGGTAGTGGTAACGCCCTTTTTTTACAAAACTACTTAGCAATAATCTTTAAAATACTATATGCATTTAATTATAGCTTATATGGTTAAAAAGTTCTAATTAAGGTCAAACTAACGGCATAATTCTTGTATCGTAAATTGTTGGATTCAATATGATATAATGAATAACATAGTGTACATGAATAAAAGATAGGTAGGGGAATCTGTAGTAGCAAGGCCTTTTGGGCAGGCGGTGAGGAAATCGGCGCTGAAAATGACTACTACTGAAACAACACTACTACTGAAATAGCAACACTCAAGAAGTAAGCATTAGGTACCTGTATAGTAACTGCGATTGCCCGCAACTATAATTTCAATTTTTGATCCCAAAAGAATCTAGCAAGCAGAAAACTTGACTGATTTTCTCCTGAGATATGAAGTATAGGAGAAATATCAATACCACCTGTCGACACTTGGTGTATTAAAGCTAAAGCCACACCACTAACCTTAGCTCCGCCACATCTCTAGTATATAGGTACTTAGGTACAATACCTAAGGTGGATATCCTAAAGCGCGTATTTGGTACCTACCTAGGTAGTTAGGTACAGTAAAACCTTGATATAACGAATTGGAAAAATCGGGGGGTTAAATTCGTTATATAGTGAATTCGCTATGGGAGAAAAGATACATCAAAAAGTACTTCCCAAAAGAGTAAAGCGCTTAGCTCATTTTATTGAAAAAGGTAAACGTTATACGAATTCAAGAAAGTCCTTTACCGAAATAGGATTAGTTCACGCTTAAAATAGGATAGATCGCTTCTTTTCATAACGAATTTGGTGGTAACTAATCTAAAAACCTTACGAATTCGTTATGTAAAAAAATTCGTTATTTTACATACAAAATTCTGGTAGACCTCATATGAATTCGTTATAGAACGAATTCGTTATGCACCTAATTCGTTATATCAAGGTTTTACTGTACATAGCACATATATCGTGAGAGTTGAAAATCGGCTTCTACCTAAGTTTCATGGAAGAGGCATTTTATGAATAGCAGAACGAAAAAATGAAACTGCGCTTTTATTCTCCTTTTCCTCGGATGTAGCCGAATGTAGCCGAATGTACCTCTTATGCATGGGATGAGATGAGATACGATGCAGGATAGAAAACCCATGGTGCTAATAAAACTCACTTACATCAACAGGCTCGTGATGGGTGAGATGTGAGATTCGATTCGATTAAGCTATCGCTAGCACAAGACATTAGGTACTTATACAAATCATAGTAACAGCCCAGCAACATCTGCTGGCGTCATATCATGGGCTACCACGTTATTGCGATCCTAGAAAACATCCGAGTGCCGCCTGGGTGTTTGATTTGGAAACCGGAATTTGCATCGGCCGTTGAAAATGATCAATAATAACCTCCGGAGGGCGCCAAGATGGAGTCTTCCGTCTGGATGCTGGCCGAATCGCGTTGTAAGGCTAACTAAATATTGTCCGATGCTTTCTATTTCGATACCTATGCCCTATCAAATACTATCTACATCCCCCTGACATTATCAGATGTTTTTTTTTTTTTTTTCTTGTAGGTAGATGGTGTTGGCTAGGTTAGGTACCTACTCAGATTCTATCAAGAATACCTAAGCCCATAATCAACGCAGGAAATACAAAATACCTATTCCTAATACCTAATGTATTGTACGGTAGGATGAGTTGGGGTCCATACTAAGATTGCAAGAAAATGAGGGCTTCCCGAAGTGGGCTTTTTTCGTCGGCGCTTAACGCTGATTATTATCATTGGCTATTTGCCTTGGGGAACTTGTCGTACCCCTGCCTTAAGCAGTGCCGGCGCCATCTTGTTGTTGCCAACCACAGCCTTTTCGGGCATTACGCTCAGCTAGCATCAAGGGCTGCTGGGAGCCGTTGTGATCCCGGGAGTCCCCCCAGCCGTCGATCGATATCATTGGCTGCTATTGAACAAATCACTTTCGTTCTTACATTGAACAAGCGACTCGCTCACCATCGCTAGAGATATCCTATTGGCCACGACCGATCGATTGACAGGGGACAGGCTTCGGCTGCACGTCGTGCACATCGTCCCGCCCTCCTCAGTGGACAGTTTGGCCCAAAATGGCGCCCGTTTCTTTCGACCCTTGGTCTCTTGGGGCGGGGAGCCATCGATGGTATTGGCCACGCCATGCAGGTGCTTCGAGCAGATACGGACGACCTTGTAGTTCATCGAGCCCACCCGTCTGTAATAATGACCACCTTCTGCTCTACCACTCTTTTCCGGTCTTTTTCTTGTCACTTCCATCACCGGCGCCGGTGTCATAGCGATTTGAACGGACCATACGCATACCTCAAAGCAATATCTAAATTGCTGTTGATATAGCGACTACAACGACTATTAAACCAGAGCCGGGAACGGAGATATTCTCTCAACAGTACGGACTACTTAAAAGAGAGCAATCTCTCTCACCTTTGACGGTCTTCTCGGTCGGCTTTGCGGGAGAAGTTTTGGAACGGCATTCTAAATTGCCCGCCTATTGCCGTGCAACGCGACCGCCCTTACACCAATTTATATAGCCGTCTCAGCTGTCGGAAAAAAAAAAACGAGAGGAACCTATCTGACTCAAGATGCTGTCTTCGATCTTGCTAGCTGTGGTCGCTTCGACCATAGTAACAGCTCATACAGTAATTACCTACCCCGGATGGCGAGGAGACAATCTTATTGAGAACTCGTCATACCCGTACGGCATGCAATGGATTTATCCATGTAAGTAACATCTTCAAATGCGAACTAGTCCCCGCAATATGCGCTCTTATCGATCTTAGTATGGGCCAAACGCGACTAACGCATGTTATATAGGCGGTGGCATACCTTTGACGACGAATAGGTCATATTGGCCGACCACGGGTGGAGCTGTCGCGTTTCAACCAGGCTGGTTTCAAGGTCACCAGACGGCGTTCCTCTACATTAATCTTGGCTTCGGCACGGACGGACCGGACCACGGGCCTAAAAACATGTCGTTCCCTATGATCGCCCCTTTCCAACTCGGTCCTTCTAAGGGCCCGTATCCCGGAACCGTCTGCTTGCCTCAAGTGCCTCTCCCTGCGAACATGAGTTTCAACCCCGGCGATAACGCGACAATACAAGTCGTCGAGATAGCACAGCACGGAGCCGCTCTATTTTCGGTAGGTTACGATGTCACCACCCATGGGTTATAAAGACGTACAAAACTGACCATATATTCTAGTGTGCTGATATCACTTTTGCCGAACCCGGTGACGAGAGGATCGCCAAAGTCAATGGATCCAACTGTTACAACAGCACAGATCTCGGATTCGCTGAGATTTACACCGTTACGACCCACGAGGCGGGTTCAGCAGCTAACGTGAGCACCAGTGGTTCCTCTGGTCTCTTGAATAGGAGCCCTGCGACGTGGAGCTGGCTCGGTTACCTTCCCCTATTTGTGTGTGCTCTAGGGCTCTTACTATAATCTGTAAGCAGTGCCCACGGTTACGATGGCAGAGAATGCGAAATAGGCGAGCCAGTCGTGTTTGGATTGTAACACCTTATATTTGTATATATCATGAGGCATCGAGGGCTGGCGTATAAGGTGGACGGCTAGGCGTTTTTTTTTCCCGTGTCCCGGCAAGCAATTTTTCTTATGCCGGCCGGGCCCTATAATTATCGGATGACTTAAGCTTTCTGAGTATATACTTGCCATTCCTAAGACGCAAGTTTTATAGATCTTCATATCATATCGAGGATCAATTGATACCCTTCAAGTACATATATATCCCCTCTTACTGCTTATAACGTGCATTCTTTTCCCTAGACGTCTTCGAAACGTTACATGAGTTAGAATATCAAGTCTGTTACAGAACTACTTCGACCGTTCCAGCGCTAGAAGCCGGAGGTATAAGTAGTATGCCTGATAGTATCAAATTTTGGTTTATGTACGTTGCAGACGAGACACGTCCGAGTAGTTAACCAGTTGAAAGCAGGAGTACGTCCTAGAGTTATGGTTATCAACCTCTTAACGATGATGACGCTTATTAGAGAGTTACGCTGGATTTCATGCCGTCCAGGATCAAGAAGAGTCTAATGCACTTATAAGAGGTACCACACTTCATGCAGTTTATGTGGTCAGATCTCCGGTGCCTTGATAAGATATCACAGTCCTGGCCTCACTGCTCAGTCTTCAAACTATATCTCTATTATCGCCGCTGATCCTCCTTAATTATTTACGTGAATTAGCCTCCTATTTGGCAAATGCTGAACACACCGAATGCAATAAAGCCGCACCCAACCGTCTAGGCACTGTTACTATAAGACTCTCAATGCTGGCTCTCGATGATACATAAAGAGGATTGGCATCAATATTAACGAATAGCAGGAATAATAAAAGACTTGACAAGGACGGCTATTCGGAAAACGGAAATTCTGCTATGCTCCTATGTCATAAACCCTGATTATGATCATCTTAGTAAGGATAAACATTCATCTGCCAACTCTTTCACACGCGGTTCGGATGTGCGATCTTTACTCGATGATATGGGCGATGACAGGCTCTTCGCCTCGGGGGCGGTTTTACCAATGACGGTAATAAGAGTACCAGCAGCCACCAACGCTCGGAATACAACTTCTCCTTCGGTCTGATTTTGCAGAATCCGAGCAAGCGCTGTTAGCAAACGGACCTGAACGTTTGCCGAGATGCTCCCTGGCTCTTTCGAAGCTAAGACGGAGAGATTCACAATGACCGTCGTTAGAGCGACCAGGAGGTTACGGTTGTATGGGCCAATCGCTGGTTGTCCGCCGATACCTAATACTCTGTCGATAAACGACACAATTTGAAGACTTTCCGAGGGCTGTACGAGAAGTCTCCGACCTTCAGTGGATCTGAAGAGATTAGCAATGGTCCTGGCTGCCATCATAACACAGTTTTCGTTGGGTTGAGCGCCAGGTGGGATACCCTCCAGCGCGGCGGAAATGGATATCTGTATCGGACTGCCCAGGTCTGCCGATCTGAACTTGGCTACAGCGGGCGACGTTGCGGTGCATCTTAAAAGATCCAGAGGAGCCAACCTGTCCGAGTAGTCCCATTGCGTGCACATCATGACGACCAGCCTAATAGAGGCATCATCCACCACCAGTTGGTTCGCTTCCAACCTCTGTCTTAATCCAGCAAGCACCTCCTGCGCTGGCGGGTTCAAGGAATGGTCTTTACGCCCCGCGGCTTCGAGAGAGGAGTTGGTGCTGAGGATCTTTTTGAATATAGCTAAATAATTAACTAGTTAGTGTCTAGCTTCGTGGAAGCTACCTAGGTACTCAAGGATTTATCAGGGCTCTTACGTTCGTATTTCGCAGCCGTGATATCAAGATACTCACGCTGCGGTAGGTGTCGGACTCTGGAAGAGCCAGAGTCATCACCTGGCCGATACCGCGACTCGGTTCCGTACGGATCGGGCCCTCCCGAATCCGCAGCGCCTTGCCCTATGGTAGCTCCTTGAGTATTCGTAACGATGAACTGTGCGACCTGATCTAAGAAGTTCTGCGAAAGCTCATTGTCGTCGATAAACTTCTGGGCCCTGGTGTAGGGATTCTCGGATAGGTTGTACGGAAGCTTTAGAGACGGTTGGCCCTCCTCGATGGCGACGTCGAATACGTAGTCATAAGACTGGCCATTATATTCGACCTTGCGCCCACTGCTACCGACAGCGTCAACGACAGTACCTACGTTAATCCATTGCTGCTGGCCCATCGACCATTGATGAGCCGTAACAGAGCCGTTCTCCTCCCTTATCATCTGTACTTGTCCCTCCTTAGTACCCGATTTATTCTTCAAGAAGTCGGGGCCCGGAAGCTTCTCCTTATTTATTCCGCCAACCTGCTGCTGCGGTATAGACGAACTCCTAACAGATTCGTCAAAGAGCGCTAGAGTATCCGGACCAGCCAGGCGCTCCGGGCTACGGGAGAATACGCGGATGACACCGTCACTGGCACCCGTCACTATGTCCCCGGTAGCGGGACATACAGAGACGGTCCAAACAGATATGGCGGGATGAGTAATGGTCTGGACGCACTCGGTGCCTCTCCATATGCGAGCTGTTCGATCTTCTCCCGAGCTAACGAGCTCGCCGGAGGGAAGCGCGTCGAGGGAATAGATAAAACTCTCGTGGCCGTGAAGCTCTCCAACCGGCTGACCATTAAGCTTCCATAAACGGATAACCCCGTCGTTGCTGGCACTCGCAAAATCAGCACCGCTCGGATGACCGCTGGGAACCTTGCATAGAGCACGAATGACGTCAGAGGTGTAAATAGTGGACCGAGGCTCGACCTGGCCGGCCACAACATTTCGAAGGTCGTAGATGCGGATGTTCTTGTCGGCAGAAGCAGTCACAACGATGGTCTCGTCAAACGGAAGGACGTCCCACACCGCCTCCTCGTGCCCGGCCAGAATCGCTTCCGTCTCCCACTTATCCACGCTCCATACTCTAGCAGTTTTATCCCAGCTGCCCGACACAATATAACGACCACCAGGAACCACGGCAAGAGCACAAACGTTTCGAGCGTGGCCGACCAGCAGGCGTTCAGCGTTATCAGAGGGCGTCGAATTGGCGCTTCTGACATCGATGATGGTATCGGTGCCGGCAGATATGACCAGACCGTCGGGGTGGTCTGGCGACGGGGGCAAGTAGGTTAGGCTGTTGTAGAACTCGGTTCCTTGGGTGGTTATAGCGGGTTCGAAAGCGGGAGGTGAAGTACCGGTGCGTTTCCAAGCGCGAACGGTACAGTCCCTAGCAGCGGAGAGAATAAGATCAGGAGCGGGGAAGCAGACATGTCGAACCTAGAGAACGACATTTATTGGTTAGAAGGACGAGGTCGCATCGAAGGGAACGAAACATGGGCGCATACATCAGCATCGTGACCGGCAAGCTGCGCAGACAGCTTGAAGTCCGCCATGACGTGACTTGGGTCCTCACCGTTTTAATACTGGAGGTTTAGTTTAGGTATCTAGGTGCGCCTGTTGAAATTGGTGGAGTTGCAAAGGGAGGGTAATTTGAGAAGTCGACAGCGGGGAAAGTATTTAAGGTAAAGTAAAGGTGAACCCGAATTAAGAAGTCGGGTATGGATGACAAGATGTGTGTGAGTGTGAAGTCGGAGAGATTACCTAATGCATACATAAAGTTGGTGATTTCTAAGGACTTCCAGCACTGGGAAAGCTCCTACCTCCTACCTACGGTAGCTATAGCTTCGCCTACCTGAGTTACATTGTACACTTGTCGCCAGGTCGTAAGTTTGTCACTGTTACAAGCTGAAGATTGAAGCTACCTGAGCTAGCCCTACCTAGGTAGGTAGGTAGGTACCTGGTAGTGAGTGTATTGGGCTTGGAGGAGGTAAGGTGGGGTTATTATTACAGGTATTACAGGGAGGTAGATACTGTACTTAATACTGCCCCACCATCCCCACCTTAGGTAATCCGAAGTAGACGTTATTGTACCTGAGTACCTACCTAAGGTACCTAACCCAGCATTAAATCAAACCCTCCAAGGGACTCGACGCATCAAATGAGGCTCGTCAATTGAATTCTATCTATCCCAAGTCTCCAAAACGGCTTTTGACAACTAAACTTTTTTTTTTTTTTTCCTTTCCTTTCCTATTCCTTTCAGACATCACATCCACGCTCAACGCGTTTTTTCTCCCCCCCCCGTCGCTCATTCTCGATTGGGATCTTACGCTTCGATCATCTTGTTCTTTGGACTTTCATCTCTCATTTTCCTCTCCTGTTTACTTTGGTGACAGTTGGAGGGCTCAAAAACAATCCAAACAAAACCCAACTTGCGCCGATCCAAGTTCTCGTCCTTCTATTAATAAATTCGATTCTACTTCCGTCATCCTTTTGCGATATCAAATTTACGACCCGTCACGAATAGTCACGAGTATCTTTCCCTCCATCCGCTTTCGCTGTAAAACTCGCCACGCCCCTTTCGCCTCGTCGTCCACCAACTATCTCAGAGTTATTAGAGACCATTCCTGACGAATATTCCACACACACTTTCTTTTCGCTGTATCGGTCATTAAGAAACGCTGTTCCGATACTCCTCCGAAGCGTACGTTAGTCGCACCTTGAGACATCCGCCTCAGAATAACGTACTCTATATCATCACCGAATTCCCACCGAATTCAGCGTTTGAACCTCGAGCTTGACCCCTAAAGCTGTTAAAAGAATTCGATCCAACGCAATCTATACCCCACCGCCTTTCTCTAGCGATGGCTACCCCTGAGGCGCCCCGGCAATATGTCCCTCTGACCTGTCACGGTCATTCCCGACCTGTCCCCCATATCAGCTTCTCGCCTTTAGAGAAAGATGACGTCTATTATTTAATATCGGCTTGCAAAGGTGCGTAGCCGCTGAGGGTCGCTATCTGTCCATAAGTCTTTGTCGTATATCTCTAATGCGTTACAGACGGCAACCCCATGCTTCGGGATGGCCAGACTGGCGACTGGATCGGTACATTTATAGGCCACAAAGGTGCAGTTTGGCAAGCTAGGCTCAGCCCCGACGCTGCTACCGCCGCTACGGCTTCTGCAGACTTCACCGCGTAAGTTCTATCATATTCTATTTTGACGCGACGCCTGCCTGTTCAAATACCCAGGTACTAACCTGGACGTTTCAGAAAGATCTGGGATACGCATACCGGGGAACTTTTGTTCACTCTCCAACATGACCACATCGTCCGGGCCGTCGCTTATCCACCCGACAATTCCGACCTCGTGGCTACCGGCGGGATGGAGAAGAAGCTTCGCATCTTTGACCTGACAGAGATGAAGCCCAAGTCGACCCCCGAAGCTGCTTCAAATGGCGGCAACGCAGAAGCTACCATCGTGCCACCCACTATCCAAGCCTCCTCCGCTTTCGAGATAGGAACAGGCGTCCATACCGCCTCCATCAAGTTCATAGTTTGGACTAGGGATCCGAATATCTTGATCACCGCTTCCGACAATACGCTACGTTGGTTCGACTTACCCACGAGAAGTGTCGTAAAGCAAGAAGTCTTGGATGGGGAGATCGGCTCTTGCGAATTTTGCGCCCTGGCTCCCGAATTTACGTCCAAGACGGACATCGGAGAAGGGTTACCAGTTCTCGCGGTGGCTGCTGGAAAGTCTATTTACTTCTGGGGCGGCGTTCGCGCCATGGACGAGTTAAAGCGCACCAAGATGAATTACAAGGTAGCTAGCGTAGCCTTGGACCCCAAGGGGAGGAAGATCGTCGTCGGCGAAGACATCCCAGCAACGTGGGCGAGAGTATACAGATGGGATGACGATACAGAGATAGGTTAGTGTTGATTTCGGGCTTAATTATCCCCAGAATGCTAACTTCCGCGGCCAGATATCCACAAGGGCCATCACGGCCCCGTGTGGTCGGTGGCCTTCTCTCCCGACGGAAAGCTCTACGCCACGGGCTCGGAAGACGGAACAATCAAGATGTGGAAGAACTGCGAGGGGTTCTACGGACTCTGGCGCGGAGGCGCAAGCGGCGGGGCAGAGCGAAACGCCGAATAGGGTGGCGCGCTTCGCAGACGACCTTCAACCGCCTCGAGCCGAGATAGCCCGGATGCTTCAACAAATTCTAGCAGTGAGTCTCAATAGAGGGCTATATCCATCCGAGAGCAAATTCTAGCGCTCGAACAATCTTAGTACAGCATCATTCAAGTCTCGTCATGCCGCGAGCATAATTCAAACGAAGAACGTCTGAGACTATTTTGGGTCAAGTAAACGAGTAGCCGGATATGATGTTTGCTGGTCATATTATAGTCATTATGTAGACGTATAAAAATATTACCACAACAGGGGGTTGGCGTACTATTTTCCTAGGGCCTAAGGGACAGATACTGAGAGAAACCCAGAGTAGATTACAGAAATAGCCTCATAATGCAACATTGCATTCGTCGTTCTCATGCCTTGTAGACCGCGTAATGACCAGTCTAGGCTCAATACAAGCGCGGCAAAGACTCGGAGCGGAGAGTTGCACCACTGAATCCTTGTTCTCGCAAGGAATACAGCGAATACTAAGATTCATCACTAGAAACAAAGCCGCGAAGGGCTACACGTCACTTGGTAAGCCCAAATTAATCTAGGTTGTCAGGTATATTCAGTTACGGATGTCATACAGAGTGAGCGTCAGCGTATAGTATGCAATTTCTTGTAGAGATCTAGCAAAGCCTAGCTTTCTAACCTTCGTCGAGGGAGCTAGCTACCCTTTATATAGACAGTAGAGCCTCATGCTAGCCAGTGTATACCCTTGCTGTACCCGCATATCTTCATATCCGTGACAATGGGGGCGGGGCCAAAGCTATGAACTACGAAGCTGGGTATGACATCTCAAAGTCCTGTAGTCACGCGTAGTTATAGAGTACAACATATTAAACGATAGTGATTCTACCCTATCGATCTTCAAAGCCTTGTGTTTTCTTATCTTATATCCCACTTGTAGCGGTTCTGTTCTAGGATTCCTCATCATCCCTGAGAGGTCGGTGATATGTACTTTCGCCCGTTTGTATGAGCCAGCGCAGTATCTGTATAAAATTTGTCCCCCCTTTTTTTTAATAACGTTATTTCAACTATCCTATTCTATCCTATTCTATCTAAGGAGAACTCCGGCTTTTCTGGACGTCGGATAGGTAATGGCTTTATATTATCCTTAGCCAAGATTCTGATTTACCTAGGTACCTATCTCCTACCTAGGTAAATATTTAGTATGATATGCTTGTAGCTAGACTACCCAAGTACAATACGATGGCATAGATTTCTCACTATATTGAAGGGTTATATACTACGCATGAAAATATATTAGTAATAATAGGGAGGTAATGAAAATTGCTCTTTACTATCTCGTTCTAAGGGTGTGGTTGGGAATGGCTTGTCCCGATCGAAGAAGTTTATCCTTTACGAAGTCCTACATGTTCGTGTGCGAAATAGCTTTTCATACTATACAACTTTGAGGTTTTTTTCATCTCGATTTCTAAGAGGGTCGGGATAATTAACAATGCGCAGTTGATGGTGAATACTTCACAGAGATACACACTTTCTATAGTTACTATCAGTTATATAAGCTCCTACAACGAGACTTTCTGGAGTCTCACTTGAGACTCTTTTGTTCCTAAGGAGTTGATGTACATATAATTTGGCTTCAAAGTTATTGTAATTAGAGTTCCTTGCGGAGCAACGAAGTCGTTTTCCTACCTCATGCTCTGCGATGTGACAGAGATAATCATCTTTACCAGTGCAAAGAAGTCCATCCTTGGTATTTCCTTCTACTATAGAATTTGACGTTTTACTATAATTTACCGCGGTAGTTAGGGGCATAATACAGCAAAGCATGTCACAGGGCTTAGACCTGGAATACCAACTTCAAAGCCGACTCTTCAGGACTCATGTCACGGGCGAAAACCTATATCATTTAACAGAAGTGCATAATCCCCCATCGGAATATTCGACCAACTCAGACACTTCAGCTTGTCTTGCTTGTACAACCGCACTCGATGAGTATGGCCCAGAATGAGAAGTGGTTAGGATTCCAGGGCAGCACCTGGCAGATTAGAAGTGAAACTGAGATTTTCCATATACCTAGCAAGCCTGAGTAAAATCCAGATGGGCCGTAGTTGAAAGAGGCTCAACCCGAATACACATACACAATCTGACACTTCAAAAAAACCTGCACACCCAAAAGCAATCTCTATCGAACTGATCGTCTTTAAATTATTACCTCTATCAGCGAAGGTAATAGTGATGCGCACGTCGTTATTCAATAAGTCGGGTTCGATTTTGGTGTTTCACTCCGTTTGTATTCCCTCTGGCCCATATATCTTAGACCGACGTCTTATCAATCTCTTGACAAATCAGCAACGCTATAAGGTGAAAGTATGAATATCAACTTACATCAAGGTCAATTTAGTTTCCCTGTCCATAGTCTAACGCCAGTTTCTCACTTGCACCCATACCAGCGAGGAGAATGGGGTCGTGGTTATATCCGGATCGCACATCAGTTGCCGTTGCACCGTAGTGGAGTTATAGATATCCTGGCGAAAGCAACTTGGCAAAACAAAGAGACTGAATAGGATCTAGTGGACTTTCCAAAGTTAGAGTATTCCTTCACAACAACACGCCTTACTGCACTTGATGCTGTGCTTCCCAAACGCTATCAACCAACATTAGGGTTATATATAATGTCGGTTGTAAAATAAGATATCCCCTATTTACTAAATGTCCCCCGAAACTCTTGACGTAGGCAATGAAAGCATGTTAGTATTTCCAATAGGTACTATCATCATACCATCTATGAAGAACAAGTAAGGCTAAGCACTTGGAAAGTACAGTTCACAATAAGTACATAAGGATATTGCAATAGCTCTTTCTTGCACAGTTAGGGATCTCGTACGAATTCATTTAGCTGTTCACTGATGGGTATGTCAGACCCGAGTTGAGAATGGCTTATTGTGTACGCAAGGAATTAAGGAAAGGTTACAGCTACATGAGGGTATTTTTCAATCATTCCAGGTCGGGTTATGCTGCTTATACCTATCCACTCGCTCCCAAGGGGTATATGTAGAAGCATGATGTGTGAACTATGCCAATAATTTGATCAATGAGCTGTGTTTCTTTTAATGCTAGGGAAAAGCCCGAGTACAATTGGTTTATCGCAGAAGGTAGCTAGCGAGGTAGCATCTCCAAATTCGGCAGGAGCTTAGGTTGGCACTCTTTATGGTAAGGGGTTTGACTAAACGATTTTAAGAACGTTTCGATCCGAGGGACCATTCTGGAAGAAAAATGGGCGGAATGGAGAAAGAAGCTTCAACATTTGTCTTGAAGACTTGGCTTACCCTCGTGTCAAAAGTTGGAGCAGAAACCAAACGAGTGTAGTGTTCAGCCGCTACAGGGGGGAAACGGTAAGGCAGTATTCATACACGTCAATCTTGAATTAAGGCTAGAAGATATAACGCTGTAAGTGCAGATAAGCTCTACGGGGATTGGCAAGCTAGGTCTCAGGGGCGGTTGTTGGTTGACGAGATAAACTGAAACTATATGCAGGGGTCGTTCCAGACGCTCGAGGCGGGGTGACATCACGTTTTGATGGTGTTTTGAAGCAGTAATTGTATGGCAACCTGGGGATCTTGATAAGCATCTTACCAGCGATCCAATTGGGGGAGCATGGATGGCTGACCCGAGGGTCTCGTGTGTCAAAGTGTTGGCGGCCGGAGTCGAGGCCAGAGTCGAGGCCGAAGGAGATTGTGACCGAAACGGTATATTCAGCTGCATAATATTAAGGTGAGTTGCAGACGGGCGGTTAAAGAAGTCGAAGGGTCATTTAGCAAATCTGGAAAGTCCGAGATCACATACGAAGCTTCACCTGTTGTTTTTTCTTTCGACTTACTCGCCTTTGAGGTACCGCTGGCGGACGAGAGAAACTAAACTTCGGCGCGCAAGGTGTATTTTCTTTTGCGTCTTTTCCCACATCTCCCTCTAATGGCCCAGACAGTAGCAGCTAAATTACCACGGCGTGACTTTGGTTATCGCCTTGAACAGCTCACCACCGTATTCACTCCACCCTGCTCCATCACATGGTTGCAAACCACCACGAAAGTCCCATCCCAATATCCGTCATTTCCTACTGGAGGACCTATCTCCTGCAACCCTCCTTCTTGGGAGCAGAATATTTCACTGAAAGGGTTTGCATACTACTCACCGGCTATCTGCCCGGAAGGGTTTATGATAGGTTGCACCGCCAACGATGATCGGCCGGGAGAAGGGTTCCCAGCCATCACGGCTGGAGAAACAGCTATGTATTGCGTTCCAAGGTATGTCGGAAGGGCTATAACCAGCATAAACAAACAAATTAATGTCGGTGTTAAATCTGCAGAGGGTTTACTTGTACTTCGGACACCACCGATTTTCGCGGGGGCGTTTGGGGCTTCACGCATAGGGCCGTAGCGAACGGAAGCCCCGTTACCGTGGGACCGGCAATCCAGATCCGCTGGCGGGATGCGGACCTCAGCCTCCTCGCTACGGATCCTCTAGCGTGTTCGACTGTCATCCCCACGCCGACATCTTCTACTTCCACCGTATCCCTACCAGAAGCCACCACATCTCGTTCCACAACGGGACGACGTGGAGTAATAACACCCATTCCAACAGCAACAGCAACAGCAACAGCAACAACGACAACTACAACGGGGATTGAACTAGGGGGACCGCCGGTTTCAATTGAACCGTACCCGATTATAACCGATACGAAAGAACCGCCGAGTTTTTCGACCGACCCGCTTACCACCACGCCAGCTATAACATCGTCAATTGAGCCTAGCACAGTTCAGCCAAGCAGGACGAGCACGGCGGGGAATAACGGAGCCGCCGGGGGTCAGGAAGAAGCCGACAAAAATGATCCTGGGAGCGCTACATCAAGCACTAATACGGCAGCTATGGCCTTGTCGGGGATTTTAATAAGCATTATACTGTGTTACTTAGCAGCGAGGATATTTCGGCGGTATCGTCGGTATCGGGCCGGCAAAGTAGAGAGGTTTCTTCCTTTCGACGCTCGCCTTTGGACAAGTTGCATCTTTGCGAAACGTAGCGACGGGTTGCCCTCGCACAAGACCACGTTGGAGAGGCCGCCTAGATGTGTCGATGCCGAATTAGGCACAGACGGACCAATACCGGAGCTAGGCCCCGGAGACCCGTTGGGAACGAAAGAGAACCCGGCGGAGTTGAGCGTCAATGGTGTCAACAACACGAGAAATAGTTGGGTATCACGAGTATCACGAATTTTCACCGTAAAAATAAGAAAAGAAGTGTGCTCGGTTTGACAACTTTCTCCTTCTCTAGAACTGGCAATCTGAGATGGGTTACTAGGGAGATGACCTTGATAGACAAGTACTTAGGCAACTTCAACTTTGACATCGAGCAACGATGCCGTACCTAAGTTATTAGCAGCCTCGTTAAGCATCACGATAGAAGCGTAACAGGAAGCGAGACAAGTAAAGCTATCTACCTGGACAGAATGAAATATAGAGATCCTCGAGTATTACTCTTCAACGCTAGTTGATAGCCGTGGTAATACCTCTTGACGTCAACAATTACATAGACGTGTCCTTTAGACTCGTAATTGGCTCTTGCTGTTGAACATCAGCCGACCAGGCCTAATAGGCCCCATTAGCAGTCGCACAAGCGTCATCCGCAACCAAGCCAATTTCCGCCAGCTTATAGCGATCACTCAAAATGTGATACCCTATATATCCCAAGATGTGATCGTTTAAGCCCTGCTCGTACGGCTGCCGCCCATCAACCACAACTCGCATGCGTCGTACAGCGTCTTGCATCTGTTGAATGATCTCTCGCAACACCGTCCGGGTATCCTTACCGTCATAAGAAGCCCTGTAATGGATATAGTTATACCTGTCCCCAGCTTTCTCTTCCTTATAGAACCTGGTACATCTTTATCAGCACGGTCGACCTCAACCAAATCAGTTGTACTCACGACAGCACATCGTTAGCGAGACAGAAGTATGCTGACAGGTCAGGGATAGCTTCTAGAAAACACGACACATCGGGATACATGGCCTTAGGAAACGTAAAGTAGGCGTACGCGTCGGAAAGACCAGTCTTTCTACGGACGTACCAAGGAAAGCTCTGTCCTCCCTCGGTTCGTACCAAGTGTCGCATCTCGGAACTGGCTTCCAAGACGCAGGCATTGTGAAAATCAAGGGATGAGGCAACGATGAAATTAACGACGAGAGGATCCCAATAGTCGTAGCACGACCGAATCAATGCCGCCCAGCATTCAAGAAGAATCGTCGGCTGAGGAGTTCCGCTGGAGAAGCGCTCGTGGAAAGCCACGAAATCATCCGACGATCGGGATGCCACGTCGTCAACAACAATAGCAATCCACGTGTATATACCAACATACACCTGGATGTCGAGTGGATGACGGGAGAGACACGCCTATAATCAGCCATCAGCACAGCTTTCGAAATAGAAAAACACAAACTGACATACAATGCCGTAGTTGCCCCCTACTATTAGGCACTTATAAGCATGGGACCCTTTTGGATGGGGAATTCCGGTACTTGTAGCACGCCTATGTAAGGCTGCCCAATATAGCTCATTGCTAATGTCCGGGGCTTTCGTATATCCAACGTTTTCCAAGAAGGAGGAAATTAAAGACTGGAGGGAACGGTCATCTATCTGGTTCCCTAGAGCGTCACACTTCCGTTCGATGTACGACATGGCAACTTCCAGATATCAAGAGCCTCTTGACCAATGGAGAAGCTCAACGCTCTAATACAAAGAGATATAACAATGCTAGGTCTTGACCAGGAAGTTCGCGAGGAAGAAACGGGATACAATGGTAGAGCAGTCCTGACATGATGGGCAGCTCAACTCACTCGGGCTAAATATACAATTCGAATCATTTCAAGTTGTCGGCTTGACTGTTTCTAGTCTCACACGGCCCTCGAAAATCATGATGTCTGCGTGATCAGTTGTACAATGCAAGATATATTAACCCTGCCGCGAAGTTGATCGATGAGAGGTCGTCGGCACGGCCAAGCCTTCCAACAGAAGAGAAATTCCTATCAATACGATTAGAGGACAGCTGAAGATAAAGCACCGTCATAGTCGTGTTTCACCGCAGCGAAAAAAAAAAAAAAAAAACTCCGGCATATCTGACTTTCAGCCATCCACCGGACATTGTACTTCATATCCCGGTGGAAAAGCAAAGCTACGAGCTTTGTGGAGAGAAGGGTGGAAATATGTCGTCAAAGCTAAAAGGAGTTAAAACGACAAGAAAGATAGCGACGAAGTCTCAAAGTTATAGGGCGACAAAGAGAAATATCTCCGCGGAGTATAATATTTCCCAGATGATGTTGTGGCTAAGGATCGGGCTTATTGAATATTTTTTAACGAGCCGTTGTGCATGGTACGAATTGAACTGTAAGTTTTCCTAGTTAGTTATATGTGACGAACCTACACTCAGGTCCGGTAAAGTGTAGTAACTGGGGTTTTGATTTTAAGTAAATAATAACGATACGGGTTAAGTGTTAATAAAACGTTAAAGTGTTTATTAAAAAGGTTTAAAGTTTTTCCCTTTATATAAATTAAATATAAGATTTAAATTAATAGTTAAAAAAATGTAAATAAATGATTAAATATATAATAATTTAAATATATTTATAGGTTTTTTTAACTTATATGTATTTTATATAATATTTTATAAATTTAATTAATTTAATAAATTTAATAATATTAATAATACTTTTTAAAATTTTATTAAAATTTTATATTTTTAAACTTTACTTTTAAGTATTTCAAGTTATTTTTTTTATATTTAATATTAATTTATAATATTAATTTTTTTTTTAACTTTTTTATTTTTAAAATTTTTTTAATTAATATTTTTTTCTTCCTTTTATTTTATTTTATTTATTAATTTGTTAAAATGTTAAATCAAATAATTAAATTTTAGCAAAAGTATATGTATTAATATAAAATTCGTAATAATTAAATTAACATTATTAATTTTTTAAATTTTAAAAATATTTTTTATTTTTCGTGCATTTATTTTAATAAGTTTTTATACTGTTTTTAATAATTATGTAATAACGACGCGTAAGCATTTTATCGGGGATAAAGTACTTTATTATTAATATTAAAAAAAGGAATAATGTATTTATTATTATTATATAAAAAGATATTATATTGTTAATTAATTTTAAATAAATTTTTCCTTTTTTAAATATTATTAATATATTAGTTTTATTTTTATTATTATTTAATTTATATATTTATTAGTTTTTATTATATATACGTATTTATTAATATTAATTAATATTATTAAAAATTTAATAATATAAATTAATAAAGTTAAAAAAATTATTATTATAATAATATATGTAATATTAGTATATTTTCTTTTATTTATAAATATATATATAATTTATAATAAATTATTAATTTATTTTATTATTTAACTTTTTTAAATTTTTTATTATTTATTATATGTGACGAACTTATATTTAAGTCCGTTAAAGTGTAATAATATGGGTTTTAATTTTAAGTAAATAGTAATAATATAAGTTAAATGTTAATAAAAACGTTAAAAAGTATTTGTTAAAAAGGCTTAAAGTCTTTTTCTTTATATAAATTAAATATAAAACTTAAATTAATAATTAAGGAAATGTAAATGAATATTTAAATATATAATAGTTTTAAATAATTATAAGTTTCCTTTATTTTAAGCTTAAAGCTTTTATAATTTTAATGATTTTAATAATTTCATTAAGATTATTAAAATTATTAAAATTATTTCCTTTTATTAAGATTATTAAGATTTATTTGTTCTTAGGATTATATATTTTAAAATCCCTGTTTCTATATAAGATATAGTTTTTATGCTATTAATTTGTAATATTATTTTCTTTTTCTTAAGTTTTTTACTTATAAAGATTTATTAATAAGTACGTTCTTTATGTTTATTTTTTATTTTTTTTTTTATTTTTTAAGTTAATTTATTAAGATGTTAAATTACGTGTTTAAATTTATTACGAAATATAAAAATTATATTAATTAATGGGAAAGTAAAAAACTTTATATTTCTTATATTAAATTTATTAATATTACCTCAATCTTATATTTTAATTACAAATATTTTAGGGAATTCCCTTATATTTTTCTACCTGATTTTTTGGCTTATAATATCTATATATGAAAAAGTTAATGCTTTAATTATAACGTTCGAAAAATAAATTCCTTAAATAAATTAAAATAAGAAATTGAATCTTTTTAAAATAAGCGTTTAAGAATTAAGGATATTATAATATAATATTAAAAAAATATTTTTAATATTTTCAAATATATTCTTTAATATTGTAAAGAAATATTAAGGTATATTTCTTATTTAAAAGAGATTTAAGTAAAAGAAGATATAATTAAAAGTAAAGCTTTTTATATTTTTAAATGTAAGGTAGAATGTTACGAACCAACAGCACGGGAACCATACCTTGTGAGGAAGCGGGGTTCTTGAAACGTACGATCTCGCGGTTATACCTCGGACAACCTAATGGAGGGTAGTGATCTGGTTGATCTGGTTGATCTGGTTGATCTTGACGAGATCAACAAGATCACCAAGATCACCAAGATCACGATAACCTCAGAGAACGAAGGATAGGGGAGGTCCACGAAGTATTTAAGACCATCATGTATCTAGACACTCATTCACATTTCCTTAGCTATCAATCTAAGTCTTATATCTAACCCATATAAGGGGAAGGACTCCAAGCCTTCCTGACGAACACTTTCAACGTTTTATTGACACTTGACTCGTATCGCTACTGTTTACCTAAAATCAAGACCCCTGTTACTACACTCTAACGTACCTGAGTGCAGGTTCGTCACATAGAATTGGATTATAAAGAGGAGGAAAAAAAAAAGGGTAAAAATTAAAACGCTTTTAGTTAAGTCAGTCCTTTTGTGCCTTTTAATTCTTCTGGGGGTAACCCCAATGGGGCCATTACTTTTTAAAATGGTTTTAATTTAAGGATAAATTTGTTGTTATTTGTAAGTAATTAAGATTTTTTTAGTAAAATGTTTTTATAAACTTTTAAACGTTTTTAAAGTACTTAATTAATTCTTATATATTTTCTTTTAATAAATAATCTTTTTATTTAATTAAATATTTAATTTAATTTCCAAATCTTTTAAAGTTTAATACTTTTTTAACTTTATATTTTTAATTAGTTTTAACATTTAAAATAATTTATATTAGTGCATTTTCAAATATTTTTTTTAATAAGGAAATATAAAATACTAAATGTAATTTTATTTTTATTAATAATAATAGTTTGTAATTAATTTTTAAAATAATTTTTTTAATTTTAAAGGGTTTAAGTTTTTTATAATTTAATTTATCATTTAATTTTTTAATTTTAATATTTTATTATAATAGGTAAATTTTATTTCCTCTTTTAAAAATTAGTTTTTTAATTTTATATTAGTCATTATATTTCTTTATTCTTGCTTATAAAAATTTGAGTTTATTTATTAAATACTTTTATATAATAATAATTTATTTCATTATAATCTTTGCTTTAATAAGTATTTCTTTTATATTAGTTAATTTTGTAATAATAAAATTGTAACTAATATTTACTTTAAATAAGAATATTTTGTGACGAATTTATACTTAGGTTTATTAGAGTGTAATAACAGGGGTTTTAATTTTAAGTAAATAGTAATAATATAGGTTAAGTGTTAATAAAATGTTAAAAATATTTGTTAAAAAAGCTTGGAGTTTTTTCCCTTATATAAGTTAAATATAAGATTTAGATTAATAATTAAAAAAATATAAATAAGTGTTTAAATATATAATGATTTTAAATAATTATAAGTTTCCTTTATTTTAAGTTTAAAGCTTTTGTGATCTTAGTAATTTTAGTAATTTTATTAAAATTATTAAAATTATTAAAATTATTTCCTTTTATTAAGATTATTAAGGTTTATTTATTTTTAAGATTATATATTTTAAAATCCTTGCTTTTATATAAAATATAACTCTTATATTATTAATTTATAATATTATTTTCCTTTTTTTAAATTCTTTACTTATAAAGATTTATTAATAAGCGCGTTTTTTATATTTATTTTTTCTTTCTTTTTTATTTTCCGGGTTAATTTATTAAAATATTAAATTACATATTTAAATTTATTATAAAATATAAAAACTATATTAATTAACAAGAAAGTAAAGAACTTTATGCTTTTTATATTAAGTTTATTAATATTATTTTAATCCTGTATTCTAATTTGGTGGTTGTGTGACATCGGCGCGTAGGCACCTTATCGGGGATAAGGTGCCTTGTCGCCGATATTGGAGGGAGAAACAGTGTATCCACTATTACTATAATAATTTTATTTTTTATAATTATATATACCATTTTACTATTTATAAATTAATTTTAATATAATATATTTTTTAAAGAAAAAATAATATATTAAATATATAATTTTATATTTATATTTGTTGGTAGGTACGTACGTATAATATAAAGCAATAAACAAGTAAATCAAATAATAATGGGGGTGAGACTGATGTATTGATGATGTTTAAGGAAGGAAGAATCTATTTGAGGCTAGCTAGCAGTGTGATGTCCTTTTATACAGTAAAAAATATCCGTTATTATTTTTAAAGTTTACATTTTAAATAAGATTTTTTTTTTCTTAAATAAATTATATATATTAATAATAATATTATTTCCGAGCAAAGGTTTTAACCTAAATTAAATAATTTAAATAATTTAAGCCTTTTAGGAAAAAGTAATAAATATAAATAAAGTAAAAAAAAAGGGAAAAAAAGGGATAAAGTACTTAATGTAAATATATATAAAATTTATATGCTTTTATTATATATTATGGTTAATATTAAAGGGCATATTTTTAAAAATAATACCGGATTTTAAGTTTTTTTTTAAAAATCCTTTTATTTTATTTACTTTATTAATATAATTATAATATTATATATAATAAATATTACAACTATATATTATATAATTAATTAAAATTTTTATTTATTTAAAAGTTATATATAATAAGTTTTTTAATTATAATAATAAATTATTGTTTACATAAATTAATGTTAAAAATTAAAACATAAAGTAAATAATATATAATAATACAATTTTAGTTTTACAAAGTATTTTATATAATGCGTAATTACTTTTAAACCATTTAAAATTAATATATATATATATTAAAATATTACATAAAATACGGCTTAAAGTGGTTAATTAATATTAAATAATAATAATAAATCCAATTATAAATAAAGAATAAGTTATAATTAATACATAAGTTAAAAAAAAAGCGAAAAACTGTTAATTATAATTTAAAATTTTAATTATTAATATTAATTATTTTATTATTAATAATTTTTAAAACATATATTTAAGTTATTAAGTAATTTATTTTATTAATTATATTTTAAAAAATAATTGTTCCGTTTAAGTGTAATACTTAAAATCCGCCCTATATTTAAAAAAATATATTAATATTAAAGTAATTATTAAATTAACAAATAATATTAAAGTTATTATAATTGTGAATTTGTATTTATATATAATGTTTAAAAGTGATAAAAGCTAAAAGGTTAATGGTTATATATATATATAATATAAAAGTTAAAAATAGTAAATAAAGATTAAAAAAATAATATTATAGAAAGAATAATAGCTTAAAAAAATAAAAGATCGTATATTATAATTATAATAAGAGTTTTTATAATTAAGAAATATATTTTATTTATATTAAAGTATTTAACTTGTTTTTTAAGAATTTATATATACGTATTACTTTATATTTACCCCGGTTATATTTTTATTTTATTTATTTAAAATATTTATTATTTTTAATCCTTAAAATATAAAATTAAAATGTCTTTGGGATTTATTTTTAATATTACTGTAAAAAAGTGCTTTTAAAGATAATTAATATAAGTTTTAAACTTATATGTATAAATTATAAAGTGGAAAAAAAATTAAAACTTAAAATTAAAGCTAATACTTATATTTGTTTTTATTTATTACTTTATTAATAAATAAAAGGATTTTTAATATTTTGCTTTAATTAATATATATTATATATAAGTAAATTCTATTAATTAATATAAATATTAAAAATCAATAATATTAAAGGTAATGGAAATATTACAAAAATAATTAAAAGTTATTATTATATTATTTTTATTTATAATAAGTTACTACCTTTTCCAAAGTGAAATTCTTTTAATAAAGTATACTTATATATGCTTATATTTCCTTTTTAACAAAAGTTAATATGTATTTCGTTATTTATTACCTCGGTAAAAAGCCGTAAAAAATAATAACGTGTCCAATTATTACTTAAATATAAGTTCTTTTTATCTATTATATTTTACGTCAGCCCATATTATATATTATAATTAGAAAATAAAATTATATAATATAAAAATACTTATATAATTTAGCTTCGTATTAATCAAAAAAGGTCTAATTTAGGTAATATATAGTAAAGAACTATGGACATATAACTTTAATGCCCTCTAGCATATAAAGAGATAGCCGAACCTTATATAAGTTCTTGTAACTACGACTTGAATAGCTGCCAGTCTTAGACTGAAAAGCCAAGTAAGAGATGACCGTATACGGAGTCTAGCTTCGCGGTCTATCTTCGAAAGAGTTCTAGCAAGCCCCCGGTTTCTGCTACCGGATACGATCTGGCTTGGATATGGATTTAGGAGACAAGAGGGTCTCATTACGAACAGGCTTTAGAGGTTTGATCAAAGGACGAAAATATAGTTAGCTTAGACTCATCTTTAATGAGTATAGTTACCTGTCTCTCATTACTAACCGGGCCTTCTATTTTGCCTACGAGGATCGTGGTCGCCCCTGTCTCCAGCCCAACATCAGGCACCGAAGGAGGGAGTTAATTTCGGCGTTTATATGCAGCGGCCTTTAATTTCGGATAGGCCGTAACCAGTTAGTTTGACATCTTGTATCGTATGGGAACGAGTAACATAAGTGCTCTTTCACGTACCAACGCTTCCTCATCCCATACCCTCCCCTTTTTAATAGCCCATCACTGGAATTCTAGGACAAATGATATCGTCAGACGCAGCTGTACAGTCAGGCATAGTCCTTAACCACTGGCCCTGAAAGGCCTCGCCTGTCCAGCTGCGTATAACCAACTAAATAGAAGGAAGCTAGTCGCTGTACCCCGTTTATCGTATCTGATCCTATTGATAGCTAGCTAAGCTTTTTTTGATTTTGGTAAGGAGGGAGTTAGCCACCTCACTTCCCATATAAGTGCCCACGTATCGTCAAGCGCTATCCTGGCCCTTATAAAGCAAGTGTAAGCCTCTTCAAAGATTATCTACCAATGAGTACAGACCGACGATGATATGTTAGCCCCCTAAACCCGTGGGCACATGCGTTCATGGCTAAAGCCGCATATACCGGGACGCGTATAATCATGCCATATATAGCCTATTAGGGGCTAGGAACCAGTCCCAGCCGCCGTGGCCGTCGATCTAACTCTCACCTGCTTCTCTGAGAAAGGAGGGGGCTCGCCAGTGCCTTCGAAGCGGCCTCGAATAGCGTCTTAATGTGATGAGGCTTTGTTTCTTCACTAACGCTCCCTAGTGAAAGCCTCTACCAAAAAGACGCCGCAGCCAGCTCGAGTATCCGCCTTGCGGGGTGATTGTCTCGCGCGCGACCGCCATCGTTGTGTAGTAACACGAAAATCCGACCCTTACCTGCGACTTTCATGATCCTTTTGGGAACTTCGACATTTTCTTTGAACCCGTTCCAGATGAACATCCACACACCTACCGAATCGACTTATTCCTTCCCCCTTAGATGTCCACGGGTTATCAATCTAAGATCATTCACTACGATTGATGAGAGGACTCCACGCCTCTCTGAGGGACACCTAGAATTGCATTCTCACTTGACATCCACGATTACTGTTGCCCTTACAATCAAAAACTCCTGATCGGAAGCTACACGTATACACCTAGGTATAGGTTCGTCACACGTTGCTGTGGTACAAGATCTCACCCCAAAATACATGTTCATATCCTTACGTTGCTGGTCCAGATACTCCACCTGGTCCAGTAGACCTTTTCCCCTCTCAAGAAGAAAAAAAATAAAACAAACCAGGCCACAGACATCTCCATCGTCAGATGCTCACGAGCGATGACCAATCCAAGTCTAACGCACAAAATTATCCCAGCGGATGCCCTGCTCCTGCGAGGATAGTATATCGTCCTGGTTCCGATGCCGCGCCCGCTTTAGCACCTCCGACAGGTTACGGTCGTCGTATAGCCGCACAGCAACGACCTTCATAAGCTGTCCCCTCCGATTCACCCGCGCGGCTGCCTGACACTCTTCCTTAGCATCACGAGCCGGCTCCATCAAGACGCAGTAATTCGCCCGCTGCAAGTTGAGTGCGGTGCCGCAAATACGATAGGTGGTAACTAGAATCTTGTTCGGCGAATCATTCGTACAATCCGACATCAGGTTATCGAGAATCTCTCGACGCCCGTACTCGGGTATCTTCTTAGTGGCTACAGTAGGAGTGCGCCCGTTGATTAGCATGACTTGAATATGGGGGTATTTCTTGGAAAGCAGCATGAAAGTCATGAAGCTAGAAACGGGAGAGTCGGTAAACACAACCATGTGTCGGATATTAGTCCCGTCAGCAGGCCCAGGATCATCCGCGTCAGGCCGGCAATTCCTGTAGGCCACCATATCTTCTACATACTCGCAGAGCCGTTGAAACTTGGAGGACTGTTCCCTAAGCTGCGCTCGATACGGCCAGAAGGGCGATTCGGCCAACCGGTCGATGAGCATAGACCGGCCGGCTCCTGAAACAGCCAACGCGCAGGCCTCGTCACCGTGGCGGTTAATTTTGTCAGCACCAAATTCGTCCTCATTAACGAGCTCTCTAACATAAAGAAGAGCAACAGCCGGATAAACATTGGCGCGAAGTAATTGGGTCCAGGACCGACCGCCAGCTTTCCCCAACTTTATGGCCGTTGAACCGCCGGAGCCGCCGAAGAACTCCAGCTCGACGCTGCGCTGAGTCGGTTCGGGCCCATCCCTTCCCCCGGTGACCCAGGCGTTGTGTCTCTGGTCGAGGGCTTGGCTGACATACGCTCGGACATTTGCGGTCAGTTTACAGAAAGCGTCGCGGCCGGTCCCGTCGATCATGTTACACTTGATAGGTTCCACGACGATTCTCCGGCCGTCGTCACCAATCGGTCGGCCGCGAAACGCGTCGGCATTGCGACGAGCCATCAGTATGCTAGGAGCGAGGCTCTTCATCAGTTCGCCCATACTTTTTCTGCGCGTCTCCACCTCGGCTTTCGTCCTCGGGTTGCTGATTATGTGATTCTTGTGCAGTAGATAGTTCCAGTCGCTCTTTTTCTTTTCAAGCTCGACTGCGCGGGTAATGCCGCCGATCATAGGTGTGCCTTTTTCGCGCTCACCCTTGACATAGAGGATGTGGTCGACGATGTTGGTCAGCTGGCCCGGACCACCGCCTGGGATGGAACCGGAGACGGCGAAGGCGATGGTGGGTTCCCAAGACTTGCGTGTGATCTTCCTTAGCAGGGAGAACGGCTGGGTAGGACTAGATGACGAGCCCTTGTAAACATGTGCCTCGTCGAAAAAGACAAAGGCGGCGGCAAGACCGTTGGTGGTAAATGCCTTGCCCTCGTACATGCTAGTGGCTTGATCGTCGTCATCGCTTTTTTGGCTCCGATATATGACTTTCTTTATGTTATAAGCATTGAGTAACGCCAGTGCTCCGGATGAACTGACTAGCAAGAACCAGTCACTGAGCCCCTCTTGACCACTCAGATAGCAATTAGGCTGCCCTCGCTTATCGACATAGCATCGACAAGCCTTAGCCGTCGTCATTTTAACACGATCTTTGCCATGGTAGTACGCCTCTCCGCTAAAATCGTTATGCATGATTGAAAACTTCAAGTGCCTCATGATCAGGTCGTTGAGGTCGACGAGCTTTTCAAATTCGCGGCGCCAACCATGGATCGAGCTTGGAGGGGCAAAGCATATAGTAAGAAGAGAGGGTAGCGCCGTAGCTACCAGGTACGTCTCCCCGGACTGGACACAAGGGCAAAGCACACCGTAAGGAGAGTTGTGTTGGCTAGGGCAGGTGAGGTCCGTCTCCTTCTGTTGGTGCTGGGGGAGATGCGTGCGGCCGTCGACAGCGTCACCATCTTTCCAATATCTCAACACTTCCACGTAATTCACCTTAATACGTGCAAAGATGATCCAGGTGGATAGAACTTCGACGGTCTTGCCGAGGCCCATCTCGTCGCCGAGGCAGCCGCCGGGAACGCCCCTGACCGGGAACTGTGTGATTTTCCACCAGATAGCGTGCAGCTGATAATCGGAGATGGCTAGTTTGAACCCGGCAGGCCTGTGCTCCGCGCTGTCTTCCGGGCACTGGAACATACGACATACACTCTTCCAGTCCTCCGCGGAGATGCTACGGTTGGCAAATTGCCCACCGATATCCTCTACCTGCTGTCGAGAACCCTCCTCGTCGGCGTCGTCGTATAGGAGACCATGATTGCTGGACGTAGCACGTTCCGGGTCATCCGAGCTGTCATCCGAGCTGTCGCCTTCGGAGTTTGCTTTCCCGGGACTTTCGTCGTCAGAAAGTTCGATAACCTCAGGATGTTTCTGGCGTTTGGCGACGGGTTGTTTAGGATGCTCGGGGCGCTCCCGTTTGGTAGGAGAATCGGGGCTGCCCATGATGGCTGGGTTCGCTGATCTGGGAGCGTCGGCGGTATCGAACTTCCCGTGCACCGTATTGTCTTTCCACACGGGGTTTTGGGGGGGTCGTTGCGGCGTCACGTCGTATATTTTGCCGCCTGCTCCCGGTCGGTTATCGTTTTCACTATCACCGGCAGACGATTCCGATTGTAAGACGAGCCCTGGCATTGATAATTCGCCGAGAGACGGCAGTATCGTTGTGCCCATTTGGATGCCGATTATTAGCAGTTCTAGATCGTGCTTAGAACGTACTCTTTGCGCCCCGCTGAATATGAGAGGCTCCGTCGGCGGTATGCCGATGTTAGCCTGTAAAAAGCTTCTGATACGTTCATAGTCATAGTGGCTCGAGACTCGTGTGACGGCCGCCATCCCGGCGTCGTTCAAGAAATTGTTCAGCACGAAGTCGGTTGATCGATCTAGGTGGTTCACGCGTACCACTACGTGGTCGAGGTTTGGTTGACGGTGTTCCATCGTATGCTCGTAGTCTTCGCACTCGACAGTAGACCGGCGTATATTAGTTGCTTTGCTCTAGCAAGTAAAGATGAGGTAAATAGTATGCCAAGCGTAATCAATAAACGTTAGTAACGCAGTTTGGGATTGCTGGAATGGTCTCGTTAGATTAAGAGCACCGGTGCTATATATGATGGTACGCGACCAGGCAGAGTCGTAATGTGGTCAAGAGTTTTGTAAGGAAAGAAGGTAAGAAGATTGTTAAAAAAAAAAATAAGAATAGTTGCCTTAAAATGCCATGAAAATACCATGGAAACAGACCCCGCACAGTTACGATCCCTGTTCATCATAATAGCTACTGTGAAAACATTATCGAGGTAGTTGAAGCGCCGGCATAAATGGTATAAATATGTACAAACTGCCAGCAGTGCTGCGCGTGCCGAATTGCGCTAAGCCGGTATCGATGGCGTCTTTAAATAACATGACGGCAACAGTTATCTTTTAGATGAATAGAAAATTTATGTAAAGGATTATAAAATATAGTAAGGGTTTGTATAAGGCCGTAGGTGATGCTTTGACGATTATATCTTGGTAAAAAAAGGATAGCAACTTTACAACATTAATTGATAAGATGTGAACTGTTTTAAAAGGAGAGGCCCGTGTGTTAGAAATAAGGCTGAGCTAATGCAGGCCAAGCGTTAGATAAGGTCATTCTCAATCAAAATCGACCTAATCAAGTTAAGTCTCCCCCTGCCCCCATATCTGCTAAGCTCGCTTATCTCTTTACCCTTTAAATCCCTCGATCTCGCACAATATTCTTCGAATGCTTTTACGAAGCCCTGATACGAACGGTAATTTGCTGTATGAGGTCACTTATATGGAATATCAAAAATGGATGCATATCCTCTTCTACTCGAGACGGTTTAAACAATATGAATTTTGCTTAGGTTTAGTTGCGATATAGCCTTATTAAAAGCGCGAAGGGCTGCCGATGTAAAATTCAAGGCGGAAGACCTCGGTGCATAGTGCGCATGCCGTAAAATAGAGGGATTATGACTCCATCAAGCCGCTCCGTCGGGGCTAGGTCCACCTGCAGCCGCACCCTAATTCTAAACACTGGAAAAGAGATCTACGAATCTTTCCAAAATTTATGTTGGCAGATGGATCTTATTAGCCCACGGACCCACTTAGTCATCCTAGATACGTAGATTAGGTGGTGGCCCCGCGGCCACCGATTTTGAGAAAACCAACCACCGTTCCAGCCCTCGATTGTTTACAAGTTATCCTATATATCATTCAAGACAAGATAAAAAGAAAAAGAATTCCCGATACGTATCTACACATATACTTATACTGTACTCTTTACCCCTCCTCAACCGCAATATGCTAACGTGCATTCTAAGGTTGGCTAACGCCCAATCGGCCAACTAGCCAGTAATAGCTTCGGATAGGCACCAAAACTCCTCTCGCCCCGCGATTTTAGCTTCTTAATCTTCCTCAAACCTCATTTCTCGGCGTTCTGTTAGTTTGCCGGCACGAACCAAACTGTACACCGCCTGTAGAATGTCCCACGATGGGACCGAACGGTATGCCCCATCTTTACCCACTAGCGCTAGCAATGTACTCATAATCGCGTTTAGGACTTAGGAAGATCGTCCCCGCCGAAGACGTTACCGATAACACCACTTTCGAGTACGTTCCCCACCACCGAAGGCAAGCCCCGCTAACCGCGATTATCATATTAGCATCATCGCAATCCATGGCTTGGATGCCGAGTCACCGCGAACATGGGTTTTCGATAAAAGAGACGGAAGCCGAACTGTGAACTGGCTACAGGACAGGGACATGCTACCAGCTGCCGTCCCAAGTGCCCGCATCTACACGTACGACTGGAACGCCAAAGTTTTCGACAACGCTCCCGTCCAAACGTTATTAGGCCACGCCGACTACCTCCTCGGCCTTGTGGCGGCGGAACGTGGCACCTCCTCCGATCGACCTATCATCTTCATCGCGTCTTGCTTTGGCGGACTTGTCTTAGCCGAGGTAAGCTATATCGTTATGTCGCGAATGCACAAAGCCACAGCTAATCTCGGTAGGCCATCTGTCGGGCAGCCCAGGAGGGTAGCGAATACCGCCAAATACTTCGGTCCACCGTCGGCATCGTCTTCTTAGCCACCCCGTTCTTCGGCACGGACGCAGCTCGTCCCGCGTCGTGGCTCGTAGTTGTGAACGGGATCATGGGCAAGGACGCGTCAGATCAATTAATCAAGGATCTCGAGGCGCGCCATGATTTTGTTCGCGAGCGGGTCCAGAAGTTTGCCGAAATCGCCAACGACAATGCCATCCGATTGCCTATTTGGTGTTTCTTCGAGACGGAGAAAACCAAGATTGTGAGAAAGGTTCTCCCAATATGGATTTCGGATAAGCGGACGCATGGTTCCATAGTAAGATTTCAAGCCACCGCGCTATGAGGTTTATATTCTGATGTCTGCAGCTCGTTACCCAGTCCTCGGCCTGTCTCCACGGCTTTACACGTCGAGGCCTCGGGAAAACTCACGTGATGATGAACAAGTTCGAGGGAAACGACTGCCCTGATTTCAAACAGGTCAAAGAAGCCATCCAGTTCATACTGAAAGAGACACCAAACACCCTAAAGCGCCGAGAGAAAGGTAAAATCATCCTACTTCCGTTAATTTTTGCAACATAGCATTCTCACAGTGGTGCAGATGCAAAGAAACCTCATTTCATGGTCCCGTTCGGGCGCAACGAGAATTTTGTCGGACGCGAATCCATCCTACAGCAGCTCCTTAGCAGGATTCCCCCAGATGCGAACCAGGACGACTGCCAGCGGACCGCCCTTGAAGGTCTCGGGGGCATCGGCAAGACCCAAGTCGCCCTCGAAGCCGCCTACCGCGTCCGCGACAAGCATCCCGGCTGCTCCGTCTTCTGGGTTCCCGCTGTCGATGCCACCAGTTTTGAAAATGCCTATCGTGACATCGGGCGACAGCTCGGGGTGAAAGGAATTAATGATGACAAGGCAGACATTAAGACGCTTGTCAAGGCTGCCCTGAGTGATGAGAGCGCTAGCAGCTGGCTCTTGATCATCGATAACGCCGATGACCTACAGTTATTTGCTGATGCAACGCTTTCGGACCACCTCCCATTCAGTCGGAAAGGATCTGTCCTTTTCACAACGCGGAATCATGAGGCTGCCGCTAGGCTGTCACAAAATAATATTACGACCGTAACTGAGATGGAAAATGACGAAGCAACGGATCTGCTACGAGCCGGTTTAAAGGAAAATCAGATACGCGACGCAGAGAGCACAACATGCCTGTTAGAGTTCCTCACCAATCTTCCCCTGGCTATTAAGCAAGCATCAGCTTACATGTCTAAAACGGACATGTCGGTATCGAAATATCTTCAGCATTGCCAGTCAAGCGATAAAACCATAGTTAAGCTTCTCAGCCAGGACTTCGAAGACCGCGATCGATACAAAAACATAAACAACCCAATAGCTACAACCTGGTTGGTCTCGTTTAACCACATTTGCCGAGATTATCCACTCGCTGCACGATATTTGAGATTTATCTGTTATCTTGCAGAGAAAGATATCCCAGTATCGCTGCTCCCCCCAGCAGAAGACGAACTGGAAGCCGAGGAAACTATTGGCGTATTGAAAGGGTACGCATTCATCATGGAGCGTAAAGAACCAGACTCGTTTGATATCCATCGGCTTGTTCGGTTGGCCATGCGCAATTGGCTGCAGACAAACGGAGAATGGCAAGAATGGGCGACCAAGGTCTTTCAACGGCTTACTAATGAATATCCATTTCCTAAGCACGAGAACCGAGCTATCTGGACGAGATACCTACCACACGGACAGGCGGTATTAGAACTTCGAAATGAGTGTGCTGATAAAGAGACTGGTCTCCTTTTCAATGTGGCGGCAAGTCACTCCATACTTGGCAAGTATAACGAGGCGGAGCAGATGTACCGGCAGACACTGGAGCTGAAGGAGCGGGTATTAAGCAGAGAGAATCCCTCCACACTTGGCAGCATGAATAATCTTGCAGAAGTCCTTCGAAATCAAGGGAAATATCAAGAGGCAGAACAGATGCATCGGCAGACACTAGAGCTAACGGAGCGGGTATTAGGCAGAGAGAATCCTTCTACACTTAACAGCATAAATAATCTTGCAGTTGTTCTTGGAAATCAAGGGAAATATGAAGAGGCAGAACAGATGCATCGGCAGACGCTGGAGCTAATGGAGCGGGTATTAGGCAGAGAGAATCCCTCTACACTTGACAGCATAAATAATCTTGCAACTGTCCTTCAAAGTCAAGGGAAATACGAAGAAGCAGAACAGATGCATCGGCAGACACTGGAGCTGAAAGAGCGGGTATTAGGCAGAGAGAATCCCTCTACACTTGACAGCATGAATAATCTTACACTTATTCTTGATAGTCAAGGGAAATACGAAGAGGCAGAACAGATGCATCGGCAGACACTGGAGCTGAAAGAGCGGGTATTAGGCAGAGAGAATCCCTCTACACTTGACAGCATGAATAATCTTGCACTTGTTCTTGATAGTCAAAGGAAATACGAAGAAGCAGAACAGATGCATCGGCAGACACTGGAGCTGACGGAGCGGGTATTAGGCAGAGAGCATCCCGACACATTTACCAGCATGAATAACCTCGCAAATGTTCTTGATAGCCAGGGGAAATACGAAGAGGCAGAACAGATGCATCGGCAGACATTGGAGCTGAAGGAACGGGTGCTGGGTAAAGAGAATCCCTCCACACTTATCAGCATGAATAACCTCGCAAATGTTCTTAATAGCCAAGGGAAATACGAAGAGGTAGAACAAATGCATCGGCAGACATTAAAGCTGAAGGAACAGGTATTAGGTAAAGAAAATCCCTCCACATTTAATAGCATGAATAATCTTGCAGTTGTTCTTGGAAATCAAGGAAAATATGAAGAGGCAGAACAGATGTATCGGCAGACGTTGGAGCTGAGGGAGCAAGTATTAGGCAGAGAGAATCCTTTTACATTAAAAAGCAAAGCGAATTTAGATATTTGCTTAAAAGCTAAAATAGATAAGGGGTTATAATAAATTTCACCCGGAAACTATACGGTTTTATAAATAGAAATCTTATTTTATAAAGGAGCTTATTAAAAAATATAAAATGTATTAATAAAATACTTAACCGATAGATTTTATTATAAAATGTTTGCACTTAGTTATCGCGTTCCTGAAATTTTAATAACGTACTTTTCGCTTTTTTGCTTTTTTCGTACATAACTTATGCTTCTTAATAAGGTTAAGGCTTATCTGTTTTTCTGGGACCTACATATCCTCGCTTTTTAAGCAACTATTCCATTTTATACGATATTTTATTTTTCCGTTCTATTTATAAGTACTTAGAACTGTTACGAACTAACATCCATCAGAAAATGTACTAGTTTAGGCAACGGAAGCGGGGATGTCCCAAGGGAACGGATAAACCCCGGTTACGGATTAGACCTCGTACAATTTAATTGATTTGATTAATTTAACTAATTTAATTAAATCAACCAAATCATCCAAATTAACCACATTATAATGCCTTTAAAACATTAAGCAAAAAAGAGGATTATAAGATATTTAAAATTATTATATATTTAAACATTTATTTACGTTTTTTTAGTTATTAATTTAAATCTTATATTTAATTTATATAAAAAAAAAGATTTTAAGCTTTTTTAATGAATATTTTTAACGTTTTATTAATATTTAACCTATATTATTACTATTTACTTAAAAAATTAAAATCTTTATTATTATACTTTAATAAACTTAAGTGTAAGTTTATTATATTTTAATAGTTCTTTAATTAATACTATTATTAATTAAATATGGCATAAATATTAATAATAATATTCCCTTATTTATTTAGATTAATTATAACTTATTTATTTTAAAATATTTATTAAACAAATCCTTTAAAAATTAACTTTTAATAAAAGTTAATTAAATAAGATATTATAATAAATTTAACGTGTTACCCTTTAATTACATATTAAGACTTATTAATAATATAATTCCCATTAAAACTAAATTTTAAACCGGATCCTCTAAGGAAGAAGTAAAGGAAATTACGGAAATTATTAATAAAGGAAAAGAAAAGGCCTTAATATAAAAAAAGTAAATTAATCTTTTAAAAAATGAACTTCGGGATATATATAAGACTTATAAAAAGCTTAAAAACAAGTTCGAAGCATTTAAAAAAAAACTAATTAAATTTAAAAATAAAAAAAAATAATGATTTAAATGACGATCCTAATAATAACCTTAATGAAAACCTTAATCCATAACTTATAAAATAATAAAAACCTATAATTCTATTATTAACAAATTAAGGATTTAAACCTTTACCATTATTTAAATATAATAGTACCATAAATATAAAGGTTTAACTTAACGTGGCTAAACTTTATTTAACTTTTTATTAAAGTAGTTTTATTAAAGACAAATATAAGGTCCTAATTATATATTAATATTTAAAAAGTAATGCCCTTAAATAGCTTTAACTTATTATAAATAATTACTTTAATAATATTTAAGGGTTAGGGTTAGGGTTAGGGTTAGGGTTAGGGTTAGGGTTAGGGTTAGGGTTAGGGTTAGGGTTAGGGTTAGGGTTAGGGTTAGTTAGGGTTAGGGTTAGGGTTAGGGTTAGGGTTAGGGTTAGGGTTAGGGTTAGGGTTAGGGTTAGGGTTAGGGTTAGGGTTAGGGTTAGGGTTAG